CCGAGTGATCCATTTCTGCAGTCTACAAAAATGACCGATATATTAAAATCCTTTGAAGCCCGGGACACGGTTATTTTCCCTGGAGAAGCCTACTTCGCTTGATACCTTGTCACTCGAAGATTTCTCCATGGATATATCTTCTAACAAAGATTTCAGTCCAATATCGGCGTCGTTATCACTTTGCGTTTGAGACGCCGGTTCTTCAACTTCATTATCGCTTTCTTCACTTTCAGTTTCATTACTAGTAGATTCTTCTTCGTTCTCTTGACTTTCTTCTTCTTTGATGCTTTCTTTATCTGATTCTAAATGACCAAAAATGCATTCATTATTTTACGATGAACTTTTATGTTGGTTAAAAAATTATGAACATTTTAAATTTTCAGACAAATGCCTCAAGTTACATCAAAAAATAGGAATCAAGAATGAGAACCATTACTTGACTACCGTCAGGAAACGGTAGATATATCATCACCAGTATATAAACATCATATGACGAAAATAATATTCACGTATTATGTACCTTGAACAGATTCTTGTTCAACATCCATTGGAACATCAGACACATTACCATATTTCGCCATAAGTTCGTCAATGGACATTTCGTTTTCAGCCTAAAAAAAATTAACTATGCATATAAAAAATTCATTACTATTTTTAGAAGGTTTACACAAAAGAACGTGTACATACTTTGAGATCATCCAGTTCCTGCTTATAATCGGTATTTTCTTCCAACTTTTCTTGTTCCATAATAGTTTCCTCTTCATCGGAGGATTCGTCAGATGCCGCAACAAAATCTGTATCTCCGTCTGCTTTCTCATTTTCCTATCGAAAATTCAATTATTAATACTAAATATGTAATAGGTAATGTAAACTCGAAATTTATGTAAAACCGTTGCAAACATACTTCTGCAACTTCTTTTGAAGTGGGTGACATGCTTTTACTTCTATCTTCTAAGTAATCTGGCGGCAATTCTTTTAAGAGATCTTCTAATGGTATTTCTGACTCTTTCTTTAATAACTCAACCTCTTCTTTATGATTTGTTACAGACTTTAACTCTTCTTCTGCTTTAGCTATAGTTTCTTCATCGTCATCCGAACTTTGATTTGGTTGGAAATCCTCTGCATTGAAAAAACGAGTATCGTGTGTAACAGCTACTGGGAGAATAGTATAAATCGGTCACAATTGATAACATACCATCGGAATGAGATTTACCAGGTGGAACTGGCGAAGAAATCCTTGAACTATTCATAGAAGCTGGTATACTTTGAGGCCCGTCAGTTTTGTTAAGTCCTTCTGTTAACCAGGTTGAATACTTCTCTGTTTGACCAACAATGAAATTTAAATGTTGATCTAACGCTTGTTTTCTTTTTTCTTCGAGCCTCGTTTGCTGTTTGTATTCGACCAACTTGAAAGAGAAAAGAAAATTAGTAACTCTTACGGGTCGGCATTGTAAGAGCTATAAAAATAAGTGTCCTGCATCATTCCTTTGATTGTACTTCAGTATTCCATACAACCATACACGTCAGCAGACTTTGCTGTTCCCACGCCGAGCACACATTTTCAATCGGAATACATTGAAACTGACGGCTTAATGGTGTGGGGTAAAAACTACTACGATTCACGAATTTTTCAACAACTTACTTTTTCTACATTCGCCCAAAATGTTTTGATTTCTTTAGCGATAAAACTAGCGATCTTCTTTAACCTAAGCTCTTGTGATTTCTCAGCTTTTTGTGCTTGAATTGCTTTCTCTTGGAAATATTTCTGTACCATACGGGCACACTTCTTCGCTGCCGCTTTTTTCCACTTTCTTTCTTGAGCAAAGTCAGCAGCTAACCAAACCATTTCCTCCAATAAATAGTCCCAATGAGCTTTTGTACGAGGTGGTTCTTGTACTTTAGGCAACCTTCTTTCCGACCATAATCCTTCACGTTGTAATTCAGCAATTCTTTGCATAACATATGCCTCCTGTAGATGTTTTAGTAAATTAATATAAATACTTAAATACCCATCCAGAACGGCTAGGTTGCTGTCCCCAAAAAATACTTTACCTGCTTTGCCTTTTCTACAATTTGTTCCTGGTTATTTGTGATATCACACGGTGAAATTGCATTAGAACCAGAAAACTTAACAACTTTAATTACAGGCTGAGAACTAGTAGTAGTAGGTGGAGTGGACGTTTTAGTAACAGCAGTAGCGGTAACCGTGGTAGTAACAGAAGTAGTAGCTGTAGTAGTCCCAGTAACAGACAGACTGGGTGTAGTCGTGGTAGTAATAGTTGTAACAGATGTAGTTATTACAGGTTTATCAGTCACAGGACTTGTTGCCGTTGTTACAGATTTTGGCGAACTTGGAACTATTGGTGCATTGCCTGTAATAATGAAATCATGATTTAATATGTAAATAAATATTTTCAAATAAAATAACTAAGTGTGTATACATATAAATGTATCAACAGCTCCTTTGGATTGTAAAGATTATTACTTAACAACCTTATGATAGCTGTAGAGTTTATATCCCCACAAAGAGTGGACCGTTTCAAACATGTAAGGTTTGAATCGGCCGTCTTACTGTGGGATTAGATGAACAAATATTCCACTATATTAAATGAGGATATAATTAAATACATAAACGGGTAAAATGGGATGTATAGCAAGCAACGAATTTATTGGAGGAACAATCATTGTGAGAATGATTCAGGGGATTCCATGATTACAACAGAATGAAGTGCTAATTATGAACGGAATGTGCTTCACTATATTTTATTAAAATAAAGATGACTACTCCCAGTATTTTAGAAACTAACATGCATCAGTGATTATTAGAAGTGACCACCATATTCGGTTAAATTTGTAACAAATGTTCCTAATAATAGTGCAAGATAGCATGTAATGCAATTACTCGATTAAAGAAAACTGCATTATTATATTAAATGCTCATACCTATTCAAGCTTAATCATTTCTCAACACAAAATGCATTAAATAAAGAACTGTATCCAAGTGTGATCGAATAATTTTTTTAATTAATTTCACAAGATCTAGTGAGAATCGTTTACGGAAACAAAAGTTAATGAATCTAAACATCGAATGATAAGCCTGCGGTAATCACCTATAATGAGCGTGGGTGCTAGAGTAGAAGTAGGTGGAGGGTGAACGGTGACTGGTGAAGATTGAATTGCTGCTCTGAAGGCAAACACCATGCCATGGCGGCCCCCTTGAGGCCTGCCTGGTACATGTCCTATTATGCAAAGTAATTATTTCATGATATAAAATGTATCCTAAAATTGTTTGTATCTTCACACTGTCAGGCATGTATCAAAATTTATATTTTTGCAACAAATTTTGATATATTCTGTAGCTTTCAATAAAAATAAAAATGGTGTGCCTCCTCTTATTTTAGGAACAATCATTAGTAGTAAGTACAAAATGATGTAGACAGTTTTATTAGGATAACTGTTTATTAAAATAATTTACTCCATCAAATAAATCACAGACATGTAAATGCTAATAACTTGCTTACCTTGTTGATTAAGTTGGGCAACTGCTGCAGGTAATGTCGTAGATACCGCAACTGGAGCAACACCCATAGCAGAGATTTTTACTTCTGTACACTGATTCACAGGAACTATTGTAGAAACAGTTGTTGTCACAGTTGGTGTTAATGGAATTTCTGATACTGGTGGCAGTGGCACTGTTAAATCCTCGTCATCGTCGTCTGGATCTAATCTATGTTGTCGTAAAAAATGCAAATATTGAGGTGTCGGAGGTCTCTTCCTCCACGTTTGAAAGTCCATCATATTGCCTCCAGCATGAAGAAAGAATAACTCTGACGCATTTTCCGCATATTTCTCCCTTATTGCACGCATTCTTTTCATTTTGTGTTCCATTATTCTTCTTCTATAACCCATTGCATCATCAGCAATCATAGTAGGTTTCTCAGTAGAATCTGTTAACTTCAATTTCTTCCTTGCAGGTGGTGATTGCATGGAAGTTTGAGAGGTTGGTGTAACAAACATGTTTCCAATAGAAGTTCTTACAAGTTTTGGAGATGTTGCTAAAACAACTTTAGGTGAATTCTGGCGGGTAGGAGATGGTAGAGATGAACTGCTTGCACCTGCAACCCCCACAGTACTAGCACGTGGAGGTGTGCCACTAATATTAACAATTCTTGTAACACCAACTTGTTGAATATTTGAATTGGTTGTTGCATTACTTGATATAACCTGCAATCATTAAAAACATATAAATGGTTAATACACATGTACCATGTATCAGACTTATAAGAATTGAGGTACTTTAAATAAATGAATATGTACCTGTGTAAGACCAGGAACTTGTGAAGTAATAACAAATTGTTGCCCAGAACCAGTGGTAAGGACGTTAAGTCCTTGAGCAGTAGCAAGAACTTGTTGCAAATTAACAGCTTGCTGTGGCGCACCTCCATTGTTTCCCCCATTATTTCCTCCACCCCCATTAAGGGGTGGCAAAATAGGTGCAGTCTGCTTATCACTCATTACACATTACACTGAAACAACAAATGTAAAATTCTTCAAAAATTAAACATAAATATTTTGGGAAAAAAGATTATCTATGGTGTATGGTACTATACGCATACTGTATAGTATTATATTAATTCTTCTTATTATAACTATATATAACAACAACAAAAATGTGTACATTAGATCATTTAATCTTATCTGTTACAACTACATTACATATAAATAAGAATTGGTAACAACACTGCACAAACATACACAAATATTTGTCACACGTAAGTTCAACATTTTTTGTAAATTATCTTAATAACAACATAAATAATATCTAAATAAATATTACGTTGTTTTATAATAAATTTATTAATCAAATTTTATTTTAAATTTGTGCAGTATGTCCATGTTCAAGCTATTTAAGTAACTAAATAAATGAAGTATGAAAGATACAAATACAATAACTTTAATTTATTAACCATACAAATTTATATTAAAAACAGTACATTATTTGATAATGATATAATTCCTTTAGAATAAAAAAACAAACGTTTAAAGGCGTTAATTAAAAAAAAAAACATGTACAAGAAACAACAAACTACAAGTTCACTGATTACTAACAATATTTTATTTTACAATTATTGAAGGTATGTAAGCAATTTATCACAGAATTTTAATATAAATGTATACATTTCAGCCTTCTTTTAAATAGGGTAACTCCAATAAGTCAAAATGAGGACGTTAATTGATTTGTAAAAAAAGCGCCGAAATCAAAATTTCTCCGTTGATCCAACTGATACACCACATTGGAATTTGTAAAACATGCGTATTGCGCAGAAGAGAAAATACCTTCGAAATTCAACACTATGAACAAAAAGAATATGTCCGCAATCAACTAAATGGTAAAATAAACGATGTCATTTAGAATAACAAAAGATTGTAACGAATACTCAAACTTCGATATCAAGCGTTCAGGGCGTTTAAGTTTTCTTATTAGAAAAATGTTAATTTATCTTAACGGAATAACAATAACCGTTGTGCCAATCTATCAGTTAAGCTTTTTGGTAATAAAAACAACTTTTTTGATGTTATAAACCATACGGTTTCGTAAAAAAAAATATTTTTCAGAATTGCGTCAGTGGAGCCTCGCGGCGATACAAAGGAAATTTTTCGCCCGCCATGTTGGCGTTGGTCTGATAGGAGGGCGGACTTACCATAATGTAATCACAAAATTCTGCAACGTAGGTGAGCCATCCACGAAAATAATTGTTACACCCGTGATCGACGAGCATTAAATTGTAATTAGGTACCTCACGTAATGTATAGTGCATGAGCTATATCTAATATTTTACAGAACATTTTCTCTCGACTCGCTCAAGGACGCACACACTTCTAAACATGGCGACGGCTCCCGACAAATTTCGACCGCGACCAGACCGAGAGCTGCTTGCTGCTTCACGTTTACACAAGCCACAGAGAGATGTCGCTCCAACTAAATGCTGAATCTGCGATTGGTTGGAAGCAACCGGATACTTGGCAACGTGGCAGTGTGAAATGTTCCTGATTGGTTACTGGTAAAAATATTAAAAGGACTCCTTTTCCGACTAACAGATCAAATCAGCAACTATTATTTTTGGATGTAAAATGTACATTCTATGAAACTTACTGTGTTGGAAATTATTGTATCTATTAAAATTACTAATAAATAATACAGTTTAAGAGATGTAGTTAATTTATGAGATTTAGTTTTGTAAAAACTAGAAAAGCAGTTTAATTTGTTTGCTTCAAAAACAACTTAAGCATCTATCACAGAAATACACGTTTTTTACAAAATCTTAACCAGCAGAGTTCGAATTACTTTAAAGTAATAAAGTATTACGATCCCTTGCTAAAAATCGTATACGAATCAGACAAATATGGGCATACCTTACAGGCAGGATTACATCACTTTACATTCCTAGAACCGTACATAAAATACTGATCCGAATGTTCCAATTCAATTTACAAAGCAAACAAACTGATATCACGAAATTATATATCTTCTTCAATATTTAATCTTCAGCTTACAATATAATACATGTCTCGTTTATCAGATTATGTGTATTAACAATGCATACCTTGTTCCTCTCAATTTTATAATTATTTTATTTACTACTTATAACACAAGATTTTCATTCTAAAAATTGCAGTACCAGAAATTTATAAATTTAAGTGATCAATTTCATGAATGAAATATTTAAAAATATTATTTATAAAATAAATTTAGTAAAAAAATAAAATACTGTTTCAATCGTGACCAAATTTCATAGTTAGCGCAACATGGTTGTCGGGTTATACATGGAACACGCCACGTGCTAAGTTACATGCGACCATTACACGATGGCGATTACAGGACACCATTTGTATCATGAAAATGAATAAAATGAAAAGTGGAAATAGAAGATTTTTTCACTTACTTTTTCGTTGAGCTTTATTGGCAGTTTTTATCTTAATTTATGTGTGTCTTTTCTAACCAAATTCGAAGGAACAAGTATCCAGGTGTCGAACACATGCGCGAAGACTTCTCACGAGACAACGTATGCTAAACACATTTTTAAACGTAATGACAAAATCTCGATAGATTTTCACAGAAAGAATCATGATCAAATATACAATAAATGACGAATGAATCAACAACTAACAAATGAAAATTAATATACTCGGATCTATAACGCGTTGTTCTAATTCTACTTGATTATTCTATACTTAACGAAGTACCCGCGTGTGATACGTACAATCGTAAGAATGACGCCGAGGTCATTTCGATACTCAGCGCATCATCTTTTGGGTACCACTGTTACATTTACATTGATCTACGTAGTATACCCAATAATAATTTAAATTTCTAGCTGAAACAAATGATCAACGATAAATGTTCAATTAATCTATTGTTAGAATAATCAAGCATTTTAATACGCATGTATTAAAACCAAATTACATTTCTCATGATAATTAAGCACGCATTCAAGCAAAATTAATGCATGTAAAAATTATAATTTTCCGGAAGCTTCTGTTATTTTGGTTCTGTATTTGATTAATTTTTAATATAATAGGTATAAAAACTATAGGGATTATGGTATAATACATGTAACTTGTAAATACTGATTCAAGAATCTATAATCTCGAACATGACGGAATTAAGTTCAAATGTAGATTCGAAATTATCAAGCTCTGTAATACAACAATTACAGCGGAAACATATTTGTACTGTTATGCAATTTATAGATGAAGATTCTGAAAAATTAGTAACGTGTACAGGATTTCCGCTTAAGGTATAAATATGAGTTTCTTGAAAGAAGATATTATAAATGCGTATTTTGAAATGAAACTTATTATTATAAAAATAATTCAATAAAATGTTAACTTTAAGGTTAAATTTTCAGGATATACTTGAAATCAAGAGAAATATATTACAAAAATATGGAGGTACAGTAAAAAGTGCCTTTGACTTGTTCAAAATTGAACAAAATAATATAATTTCAACCAATGTATCAAGGTATATGATTAAAAAAACATTTAGTTAAATGCTACTTGTAAAATTAATCATTAATTTAGTTGATTAGTTTAGATAATTTATTAAAAGGTGGATTATATCCTGGTCAAATATATGAAATATGTGGTATATCCTCGAGTGGAAAAACCCAGTTATGTTTAACAATTGCAAGTAATATTGCACTTGAGCCTAATAATATTGTAAGGTACATTGATACAAAGAGGGATTTTTCTGGTTCAAGAATAGAACAAATATTGTTAAAAAGGAATTATAATAAACAGGTACTATCATGTGTATATATCTATGTATAAAATATTATATGTGTACAGTGAAACATTTGATTTGAATAATCAGCATGGTATTTGCTTCAACCTTAGGTTAGGGATGAAGTTATGAACCGCATCAAAGTATGTTGCATATACAAATTAAGTCAATTGTTAAAAATTTTACGGTTGTTAACAATCGCTTTAAAAGAAGAAAAAGCAGAATATCGAACAAGGATTATAATTATTGATTCATTGCCAGGAATAATTTTCAAGTTTTCTAAAAGTAATGAAACAACAATTGCACTGAATCATGTAGCAAATATGTGCCATTTCATTGCTAATGAATTTCATTTATCAATTATTACTGTCAATGTGATTACTCAATGGAATTATGAGGTAGGGTCAACCAGTACAGATTCAGGTGGAAATTGCAATGAAGTGACTCCAGCATTAGGAAAGTATTGGTCGCACGTTCCTAATACAAGACTGTTGATAGAGAAAATTGGATTTGAAGGTAGAAAAATTTCTGTATGGAAAAGTTTTCAACTGGAACCAAATCTATCGTGCATTCTAACTATAAATGATAGTGGTATTTTATGATCTTGAATACACCATGTCTGGAATGTATTTGTATTCTTATCTAGATGTTAAAGTACATTTTATATATAATAATTAATTGTAAAAATATTTGTTTTTTGTTAGCAAGTATTTTACAGAATTCTAAATAACTCTTCAATTGTGCAAAGATTATACAATTTTGATTTAACATTACTCATGGCTTATTCTTTAATATTAATTTGATAAAAATAGATTTAATTTAGTTTATTGCTATATTTCCATAAGAAGTTTTATTTTTACCGCTAGTTTTGAAAAAAAAGACGATAGTGTCGTTAGTAATTTCCGGTGACGTTTGTTTTGCAGCGTTGCCACATAGTCTTCATGTGGACAGTAACATAACAATTTATAATGGTTATATTAGATTAGTGATTGTTAGAGTATATTGTTAATTAATTGGTAAGAACAATGGCTTCCTTGGTTGCGGATTATGGAACCTCCTCAAGTTCAGAGAGTAGTAGTGGCGATATTTCGGATAGTGCTGATAACACGTAAGCTTTCACCAATATGATCATGTTTCGCGTTTGTTGTTACCCTTTGTTTAACTCCTTGTAATTACTTAAATTTTAATTTTTATAATGAATTGTCATTATTAATACATTCCTACCACTCGACTTGTATTAACGTGCCTTTTTATGTGACAAATCATTTGACATATTTACACGTGTATTCGCGAAACGAAAGTCGTACAGGATACGTTTATAATTTTTAAGATTGTATACTCTATTATATCAAGTATTATGTTTACATCTACTTTTATAATTATAATTGTTATTTACTAATTAAGCAATAAATAAAATGCATAGCATTGTATGTAATCTTAATAGTGTTCCAGTTACTGCTTGTTCTAAAAAGTACAAATATATCATTACAATTATACATTATTGTAGTTTTTTTTATTTTCAAATTAGCATGAATATATTAAGTCACTGTTGGTACTTACACATAAGATTGAACTTGTTCTTTGTAATCTGATATTGCCTAACCCTCAGTTTTAAGGAAGATGAAGAAGAGGATAATGAAGAGGAAAAGAATGATGAAAATGAAGGAGCAACAGATACAGCAGCTTCCAAAGAAAAACTTCCATTACCAACTCCAGATTTTAATAGCATACCTGTTATGAAAACTTCAGTCTTCTCAAATCCATTTGTTGAAGCAGAAAAAGCTAAAAGTGCTATTCTAGAGAAACATGTAAAAATGACTCCAACATTAGATGACACAAAAATGATAAATGGTCGAAAGATATGTTGGAATTATAGGAAAGGTAGATGCAGGTTTGGTCATAATTGTACCTTTGCACACGATTCAGATTTACACCGTACAGCGGCTGAGCTAGAAGCAATTCGAATACCGCAAGAAACAGTTATCTGTCAGACTCAGTATAATGGTCAGGTTTCCATAAATGATGATGATGAGGTGGATCAAGAAAATAATCAAATGAATAAACGTAAGAAAAGGCCAGGATTGAGTCAGTCTTTAATACCTAGTAAGAAAGTCTTGAAAATGTACAAAGCACAACAAACTAAAGCCATTAGTAGATAAATGCAGATATTAATGTATGATTAGCTACTCTAAAAGAAAAGATTTATGATTTATAAATTCATAATTCAATGAATTTGTAAAAATGATATTGATTATATAACTTCCATGAAAATCAGAAAGTATAAATTTCTTTCTGAATAAAAAGATAGTGTAAGACACTGATTGCTTCATTCTATATTGAAAAAAGTCATAAGAAAGGTATATGAAACAAATATATGCTTCCAGCAAAAGATACACTTATGACACATCTATTATATATAATACCTATTTCAGAATCAATTGAAAGTTTAGGAATTATTTAAATACTATTCAATATTTATAGAAAATTATTTGTTATGTATATAACAATTAGAGTTTACTTGTATAATTAATACTTCCAGGGACCTGCAGACATGAATCATAATTCATTATGTTTTGTATGCAAACAATTTTATAAACATTTCTATTTATATTTAATATTTCTAGTTGATCTACAAGAATCGAAATAGTCTTCTTATATTTTGCCAGACAACTTGATTATCTACGTTTCTTTTGCTTTCTTCTTACCGAAAAGAGATAGCTATTTAAAGGTTTTCTGTATCAGAATTCTAAGATTTTAGATTATACATAAGGATAATATTGTATTTAAATCGTATAAGTATCACTCCAGCTTTAATAAAAAATTTTTAGATATTGTTTAATGTACAAAGTAAAAATTATTGCTTGTGTAAAAGTACTATATGTAAAAAAAAAAAAATTATGTAACTTATGTACAATATTGTTAACATTTCTCCTTGATAAAGCTGTTTAGTATCTAAATTAGGTACTGAAAACAACATGTAATAATCGTGGTATACCAAAAACAACAATTACGCTTCCACCATGCATTATATCTTTTTACATAATGTTATAGATATAAAAGAGAACTTACTTGTTTCTGCATAGAAGGAAATATGTGTTTGTCAGGTTTACTTTTATTAATGTGTAATATCATGTATCTTCCTTTTTATGTGATCCAATTACTTAAGTATTCTTTATTAGTAAAAGGCTTTTTTTAATTCTATATATGTAACATATATAACTTTTGTATACACGCTATTTCATTAAATTATTAAGAAATACTATTTCAACTTCTTCAGTACCCTGAAAATGATATATAAGTTTTGTATATCAAGGAATTCAATGCACTATTAAAAATTATTAATTTGTTAAATAGTTATCGGAATGATAGCAATGCATCGAACTGACCAATAAAGTTATTGATTTACATTCTTCTTCTAGCTGTACCATATGAAAACGTGTATAAGCCTTAATCTGAAAACAAAATGACAGTGAATAATTATTTAATATTCCATTGATGAGTTGAAAGAACAATGGATAGGTATCAAGTGGACAAAAAATGATAGGCACATGACATTTTTATTAGATAATCATGGGTACAATATGAGTTCAGATCAATTATACGTGGTTTAAAGTGCATCAATAGTTGATTATTGCATCTTTCATTGAAAATATATATTTATATATCATTCTTTTTCACTTCCGCGACTGAACATCTCACAGGCACTTTGTCTCTAAACAATGATAATATTTGTGATAAATGTTTTTATGTAAAATAAACATGTATATAATCATCACAGTTTACGTTCATTAAGTTATGATCAATGATGAAATAATTTTCATTTATAAATTAAATAATAATAATTACTCAATAATTAATTTACTCCCAAATCAATTTCTGTTTAAAATTGCAATTCATTAATCGATCTCTTTATTCATACCAACGGTATTTCCAGTTAATCAAAGTAATGTCTTTTATCTGGATTGAAATTTTTATGGAAACACCTGTTAAGTACTATAATGTACGACAATTAATTTGTCATTACTATGTAATACGTAATTCTGACAATACTGTAGAACAGTACAATTGTTGAACCATACCTTTTTTTTCTTTTTTCATTTTAATTACCCGACCATTATTCTTAAAAGACAAAACATTAGATTTATTTCAACATTTTACGTGATACCACTAATAAATAATACACCTGCAGAAACTGTAATTAAACCTACAATACAGGGACGAAAGCAGCTCGTCTTCTACCGTTAAATTGATGAATTGAAATTCTCTGTTTCATATTAGTGCAGAATATTTAATTTTCTACCGAGAGACAATGTTAAACATTTTCTAAAGGTAAAGTATACTTCACACTGATCGTATGTTCTTGAATAAGTACTTTGTATGCTATGCGCTACATGTATTTTGTATCACAATCATTTATAGTAGGTTCCCTTAAATAAAATGTTACGACGACAATACTCTATCGTTAAGATACATAACGAAGTAAAAGAGAGATGAAAAGTGAAAAGTGAAGCGATTTAGATGTAAAAATACCCGGTATTATTAATCGTTATTACTCGTTAAACGGATCGGTAAAAAATAAGTTACAGTCGAATTATATTAAGTACATTTCGCATCAAATACTTCCAGATGTGCATATACAAGGATCAATTAGAAAATATGAAGTTTAGAACTTTGTCGTTCTTCGTATTGCCTAAAAAAAGTTTTTTTTCTTTTTTTTTTTTACTCTTAGATCGAGTTGTCAGTGCCAATAGAATTATTTCGTCTCGTAGTTTGGAATTGTTTCAATAATTTCAGTACCATCGTGTTTTTACATCGTTCCAAAAATCTATTCTCTGTGTTTCTTATTACATTCTTCTTCTTCCATTTATTCTCTTACGAACTATTGTTCAACGTTTTTGTAGGATTATCGCGTTCTTTACTATTGCTTTTTATGCTATTCCTCTCGACGAATTTCGCGTTACCATTCGCAACACCGTGGACACCATTTTGTATGCCATTCACAACTTTATCTACACCATTTATAGTAACGTTTACACCATTAACTCTAGACCCAACCCCGTTACTTGCAACGTTTACATGTTTTTTAGCCAACGTATCTCTCGCTTCTGAAGTATTAATTTTTTTATTATCCTTCGATCCAGATTCCGTCAAGCCTGCAAGAGCGTAATCTGTGCAATTCAAAAGAGACTTAATCAAACGAAAGATCGGCTATATTAATCATTAAACCATTAATCTATACTACTGTGCATCATTATTTGTCACTATAAAACAAGATGTAATATACGTTTATTTAGTGACAAGGCTCTCTGTGTGATTTACTTGATTGAACAAAAACAAAAGAAAGAAACGAACAAGCAAACATACGTACCGTGTAAATTATGGCAGTATTTATTAGTATTGTTCCATTCTTCTCGTAGACTCAGATTGAACATGCTGTAGTCCGGATTACCGGTTACCTCTTTCTCGATTGTCAGGAACTGTGGTAGTATATTCTTCAGCTCGTCTCCAGTTAATGCTGTATACGTTTCAAGCAACATCAATCCGCGGCACCTATAAAAAAACAATTACATCAATTACATCCTGGTCAAAGTTGATCAGTGGCGGCTCGCGTATAGGCACTGTGGAACTGCAGCACCCCGTATTTCATTAATATAATGAGTCCTTTATCCTTTAAATCTTTCTTTATACTTGTACAATATATAATCCTTAAGCTTAATGTCAGTAGTCATCCCCCAGTTTATGAAAATGATAGAAAAATTGTTGTATGGAACTGTGCGCTTCATAGTTTCAGCGGCGTGGTGTTTAATTGTGTGCGCATGCGCACATAGGAAGCTGCGCAGGAGAGAGAGAGCACTGACGCACCCGCAGTGCCAGTTTTTTAAAACAAAGATTAACAATTTTCTGGACCAGCATCCCCACTAATTTTAACTACGAGCCGCCATTGGAGTTGATGAACAATCATTTAGCCATACCTCGGGTGAGCTGGTTCTCTGTATATGTCTAATTGAAAATACTGATTATTGATGAGGAAACAACGCCGACGTTTGAAGATGGTGAAATGCGAATCGTCGCGTTGAGCAAGCATGTTCAAGTAATCCCGATGGGTTAACTGGGTCTTAACTTCGATTACTTGCCCGCACATCTTCGGACGCCTAATCGTGTGGATGTAAGACCAATGTCCTGCGAACGTAAACGAAATTAAATGAAGAATTATTAATCTCACCGATGTTGCGAAGTTGGTTCCACGTTGGGAGACGAACCTTTTTGACCGCGTTTGCGTAGACGGGCTTGCATCTTCGGATTGTTACTTTGGAGGTAGTTATGGACGACATCGAAGTCTTGAAACGGTGGAAACTCGCTGTCCGGAGGTAGAGGACCTTTGACGAGGAACTTGACCTTTCGACTGCTGGCTCGCAATCTGTCCCCGGTGTCGATGCCCAGTTTCTGGCACACGCACTCGATCATACGGCAAATCTTCGACTCGAAGTCCTGCGAGTTGTCGATCACGTCGAAATACGGATGACCCACCCAGGCAGCGGCCGCTTTGTAATCGAGTTCCCTGGCCAACTCGACGCCTTCCGATCGACATACGTGATCTTCGGTCGAGTAGAAGTCTTCGGCACCGTTCGCGGCCGATACCATGTGGATGATCTGATTGTATCTGTTGTCCCGTAACTCCACGTTGTTCCAACCGTTGGATGCCATCATAAGTTCCCACTTGTCCTTTGAAATAACTACGGATCGAGAAACACGAATACGTAAACGATCATCCTTTTATACAAGGATAACAATCTCTTAGATAATTTGCTTACATGCAGAGGCATCCATAGCGCCACGATCACAGATTATAAGGCAATTTCGCGAACTGCTCTCGCCCAGTTGAAAGAACGTGTTCTCTATTTGTATCATCGTGCGCAAAAGGTTCTCTTGGAACTTGAATGCTGAAACAGAACAGCGAACGATGTAAAGTTTGGAAGTTAAATTAGGAAATTAACTTAAGGAACCTCTAAACACGAGGAACTACAAGGATGACAACAACTACGCACGCCTCTCTCGAGTTTACAATTATTTACGTAATAACAGAGGATGTGAATTAATTGATCACTCGTTTATTAGCTTACGTCTTTTTTTCCTAACGAGAATAAAACCTTTGGGAATCAACGTGTCGTTTAAGGAATAATCGTCAAGTTTTATGCTTTTTGCGATGACTTTCAAATGAGAAAAGAAAATGCTAGGAACAAAATAGAAACTATATTTATTAGTATTATTTTAAATGAATCAATTTACTCGATCGATATTTCATCCTCGATTGAGAAGAATGAATCACAGGATCTTATTTAGCTCAAAATGCGCGATATCATTCTGAAGAGAGTGAAACGAATCGTTATTATGAACACAGGTGCGTCGAGTCATCGATCAGTGCACCGCAGTGGATGCAATTACTGCGATGCAAACGTGTGATTCGATCTGCGCTCTTTCTGCCTAATGCTCGATATCATTCAATTGAGTATTTCATTCGTATACATTTTTCGAGGAAACAAAAGTGAACATTAAATATATTAACAGGTTCGATTCGAAAATCGTATTTTTAGAGACAGCCTGCGTCGTCACTGGGTAATAATTAACTTAAACTACGAAGCAGCTAAAGCTTTTATCGTTAATTATTGCGCTGCACGCGATATTGAGGAATTAGCAAAAATATCTGTAGATTAGCGATAAAGAAAAATGAAAACAGAAGTCTGTTTATTGCTTCGTCAATAGACACCTGGTTATATGTGCTAAATATACAATTTTCGAACGTGTTAATTCTTTATAGTTAGTGGTTTGAAGCTTTTTCATTCGTAGTGTACACTCCGTATCAAATCAAGCTTCCTCGGGAAGGACGGTGGTGCCTCGGGTACTGGTCCTTCCCCTTAGGCATCCCCGAGGAGACTGACGCTACGCGAGGGTGGAGGCCCCATATATATAGGCCTGTGGCGGACCAGCCACTCGCGGGAAGATTTGAAATCAGATTTATTCATTATTCGTATTTCTCAGTTAAATACTAAATTTTATAAGATTTAATAATTAAAAATCATACTACTTGAAATAATATTATTATTAATATCATTGAAATGAGGACTTTAAGAAGGAAATCCTAATTTGATCGCGAGTGTACACAGACGGGACTTGATTGACGTTTGTGAATTGCATCGCGCATTCTGGTATCAGTCGTGTTACATAGTTGCTCATCCACGACAGATAACAGTATCATCTCAGACGGACTAAACAACTCGTAGTAACTATAACTCTTGTCACAATATTTTCCTTTTATCGAATCAGCGAAAAAATCCAATTAATGGGAACGGTCGTTCGGAGACCTCGACGAAGTTCGATAATTATCTCCAGTTCGACTGTTGGCTTTTCCATTTTTATTAACGCATTGAATGATGTTCGAAGAGGGAATTTCTATAAAACTAAGGATATTAGAACCTTCAAAGTCCAGAGATATTTTAGGCATAGGAGGCACATTTGCAGGACGTTTACATATTGAAGCAAGGAGCCATTATTCAACGATTGATACAGAAACATAGTTGACCCACGAAACAAGGTCTACGTAATAAATCCTATCGATTCGTCGTTGTAATGACTATTCCCCAAGCCTACCTCTTACAGAAGCTCTAGCAGATATCATCAATTGATTAAATAAGAACGACTGTTCCCTCGGATCAGGGTATATCCACGATAAATCCTTCCTATTATTCTTCGAGCATTACTCGTATTGGAGCTCTACCTATTACGAACGTAGCAAAAGTATTTGGCCGTTTGAGAACTGCGCAAAATACATAAATGTTCATACCTAATTGATCAAGTACAGTAGCACGATGGCACGCTTCAACTGGCCAGAGAGGCGGCTTTCTAGCAGCAGGGACCAAGCCGAATCGGTCTAGCAAGGCGAAAGGACAATGATCCTGTTTTCTTTTCGACAACGATAAACCACGCTCAGAAATTACAGCCTCTGGGCAGAACACACAATACATCGTACGTTCCAAATTGTTCCTACAACTTCACAAAACAACAAACATTATACAAACACAAAGGAACCGACGGTGATGGAACACCAAAGTTAAGGAAAAGGAATTTCGTATCCATTTTCGGGGATAGTTTTCTCGGCGTGTAATTCCTGCTCGTGGTTTTCCTTCGAAGTGAAAAAGAGAGTAGGACCCTGTGTCCTCTTCCGTATACACCGTAGGATGTAATTCGTGTTACGAGTTAATAATCCTAGTTAATTTTCTCGGTACCTCCTTCGATTCTATCACGAATTACGGATCCACGATGTATAATCGCCTTCGAGACAAGAGACTTCTCTAAGACTCACCCTCGCTCGAGTCAACCTCCAAGATCTCCGGCCATCTCGCTTCACCTTTGTCCGACCTGTTCCTGTAACGTCTCTGCGACCACTTCGTAATCGAAGGTCGCGACACGGATCCCTTTGCTAGAACCAACCGACCTTCAAGATACTTTCAGTTCGATAAACCAGCCAGCTATTTTCCCTCCCTCGAAGCGAGTTTTCCTTCGATCGAATCGTTTTAACGTTTTCCCACCCCTCCGTCCCTTCTATCCTCCTACTATTTCCTATGAAAATTACTTAGCATTACAAGCAAGTCGCCAATCGGCGTGATTCGAAACCTATCGATCTCCCAGTTCCTATTAAGATCGCATAACCGGACGGTTCTGGTTTAGCCTAAACTCTATTATGCGATCTGGATATCGTTCAACGAACGAATCGATTGATCAAAGTAGAACGAGAGAAAAATTTTTCTTATTTTAATCGAGGTCAAAAAGGGTTCGCGAATCGCGTAGAGGGTTGAAGAAGAGGACTTTATTCGGATTCGCCACACGAACTACTGCTACGTCATCAGACATGTGGCATCAGCAAAAAGCTTTCGAAATGAAACAGTCGTGTACGAGTGGATACTGTTGCCGTCTGCGAGGAGAAAGAATAAAGGATGCAGCAAGCCGGGAGATCGTTTTTCACTGACCAAAGAAAAATTCTCTTGCGTCGTGAAATTCACAACCGTGCTGAAAGTTTTCTGAACAAATCGTTTCATTCGAGGTGATCTAATTATTTCCACGATTTTCTTGAGTACCAGGCAGAAAGAGAATCTGCGTAATGGAATATATTATACAGTTTTCATTCCAGTACGTCAATACACACGCTTTTGTTGATCGAGTAAATTGATTCGACCCGTGGAATTGATTCAAACCCACGGTATCCTGTCGGAACTGGAAGACTTGTTAATTACCGCTTGTTCGTTATTGGGTGCAGCTCGACCTTCGAGAAATCGCTTCTATTACACTGGACTTGTTAAAAAATGAAAATCTTGTTGCATCGATTATAAAAATCTGCGCAGCGGTTCTAACTTTTTCCGCCGTTTCATTAGCATACTCGGTCAACTTCCATTGGTCATTAAACATCGTAGCATTCAGCGAGAATAATTAGTTCTTTTAATGTTCTTGCATCGGGCGCTGAGAATTTCTTGGAAACCTACAGAGTTCCCTGGAAATATTTTAGGCTTCGAAACGTATCAGTGCCGAAGTATCGTCAAGAGAATCAATCACGTGCAAAGTGGTGAAATTGATCGATGAATGAACAGCAGGGTTCTTTGACGAGTAAACTACTCGTCGCGTGTATCATATCGAAAGAAAATCTCACGCTCGGATGCACTCCGCTTCGACGCGACACGTTTCTAACGATGAAGAATAATTTTCAAAGGGACGGTGTAAAATTTAGAAAATGAAAATAATACGAAGTACGAAATTGAATTAGAATTGTGGCTCTCTCCATGGTCCGCCGTCCGAGAGTTAATCGTTCTAGCAAACCTGGGAAGACCAGGGGAAGAAAATACTGAAAATTCTTTCGAGGATAACGCTATCTATAAATCGTCTACTTGAATTATTACTCTCACTAAATTGTCGAGTTTTGTTTTTGAGGAAACGTTTACCGGTCTAATGGCACGAACACAGAATTTTCCTCCCTCCAAAAAAAAAAAAAAATAGAGTAGGAGTTTGTAACAATTTCTCAAACGCTATAAGTCACAATAAAAGCGAACTGGCAGTTTGCCACGGTAGATAGGAAGGCGTGGTATGATCCCGATAGAGAGCGACAATTGAGCGGATACATCGAATATGAATTTATTAATAACCGGTGCTCGATATAACGAACTTATTAGGCTACGTTTGTCGTTACGTCGAGCGGAATATATAGAACGTCGTTACGGACGACCTACATTAACGAATGAACCCCGTTTTACCGGCTGTGTCTTCTGGTTACGTGAGACGAAGACTCCGTTTACTTGGACACGTGAGGGACACGAAACGATTAGGATAACTGAAACGTTCAAGGCTCTGTTGTGCAATAATTAACCGGCTAATTACGTTAGCGAATTGTTAAGTCCCTGTATAATCAATTTGGCGAAATAAGAATTAGGAGTATTAACTTCCAAAGCCTAAGTACCGTGCGTCGCCGACTCTCCGGACGGATTCTCGGTCTTCGCGGAAAATCAATCTCGTTGCATTCTCTCAAGACAGATGCGATTAGGGGTGCAACGATGATAAAAATTGACGTGCATCGATGTACATAGCTCCGTATACTGGTTAAAGAAGCCAAAAGGAGGGTTTGCTCGTAGGAAGCCTGGTTAATATCGGTGTTTCAAGGGCATGGGATTAAATCCGACAAATACCTTTATGTAATCTTAGCAGAAAGAGACGCGGTTAAAAGATATTTTCGCACGATGCAAGCAGTATTCCGGACGTCATTTCATTTTCCAGCTGGAAACGACGCAAAAAGGGTGTTGCTGTCTGGCAACCGTTTAGCTAGACACCGATTCTCTTAATGTCAACCTGTTGGATTCTTTAGAAACTATGAAACTCCGCTTAGTTATTTCCCATTCGAAGTAATGAGAATCTGGCAAGAAATCCCGGGTAATATATCGAAAACGACACATTTCACAAGATGTACATTCGACGAACATGCACACACGAGTGGTAACAACGAAACGAGTGTTTTCGAACCAAGTGTATCTTCTCAACGTACCACCGATCTCAATTTTACGTTATGTAATTTTAGTAGTTTATTATTATCCATGGTTGATCTCGAAATGTGTGTAAATAGAATAGAAAATTCGTGGGAGCACAGATGGTCTCCTAAATGACGAATTTTGAGTGCAATACGTACAAAATGCCTCGTGATTAAATATCCTTTGAAATAGTAAAAAAAGTGATAGAGGACGTATCTAATTTCCTTAATTGCTTCTTCAAAGTTTCCTAGAATTTAATTCTGCACTACAATTTTTCGAACATTTAATTTCATCGTTTCGTGATAAATTATGCAAATTAATTGGTCAATCATTAAAATGATAATTACTACCTTGGGAAACATAAAGAAATTAGTAGCTAGAATTACTTATAAAAATGTTCTGACAGCTAACAGCTTTTGGTAGTTGTCAATTAAATTAAAAATTTAAGCTACCGACCTTTTCCAAAGTAAAGCAAATATTTACACGAGTATATCTGACTGCAAAGCAAATTTGCACGGGTGCAGGTATACAATTCTACGGAAAAAAACGAGGTATCTTATTACACTGGCTTATTAGAATAACCGGGATTTGCAAATCGATACAATAATGTAATCATATGCATTATGCAACTGGAAGCAATTTTAGTAGGTTTTGTTCGCGTAGAAATATCGTCGCTAGACAAAGAACACGAAACGAACGTGAAATTCATTGGCAAAGCGTTCTACTTTTGCTCCGTGTAATTAGATACGAACGATTAATTCAATGAAGAAGTAGCCAAGTGAGAAGGGTCTCTCTGGCTGACCTATCCAACAGATAACCGTGCGATCGATTCACACCTTGAGAAATAATAATAGGCAAATTAATTATAGGAATTTGATGTGATGTACACTCGCGATCATATCAGGCCTCCCCGAGTCCCCATCCTTCCCCTTAGGCGTCGCCGAGGAGAATGACAATGCTGGGGTGGAGGCCTCATATATATAGGCCTCTGGCGGACCACCCACCCGCGAATAAATGTCTACGCGGGAAAATTTGAATTGATAATCATTTATTATTCATATTTCTCAGTTATATACTGAATTTTGTAATACTTAATAATTAAAAATTACATCGTTTGCTTTTCTAAATTATTTTTAATATTAATAACATCAAAATTAAGATTTTGAAAATTTCTGCTTCTCCTCTATTGCCATCTTCCCTAGGGAAGACTGATTTGATCGCGAGTGTATCTATGGTAGGAAAAAAGAGCCTATTTAAATATTTATGCTTTCTCGAGCAACAAGATAACTAAATATAACAACGATACAGTTGTTTATTCAACGACTGATAAATTTTTGTTCGTAGGTCAACGTTAGATACAGAGTGCATCAAGAGTGCCGGAAGGATGTGAAATCGTTTGGAAAGGAAATTCATTACTATTTCAAATCCTTTTGTTTTTCGAATATGCTCGTATAAAAAGAGCTCGTACTTTTCGTTATCGCTCTTGACTTTAATGGTCCTCGACACGAACAGATTAAATTCTTTCTCTTCTCGATCGTTCAACACGTACGAATGTCATCGTTCGAAAACACACGATGCGTCCGTCTCGTGATTCGTCGGTATACAAGAATCTTGGCAAAGTGCCGGTTTCAATTTTACGCAATCGACGAACGTTAAACTACATTAGCCATTCTTCTTCGATCCACCCGCAACCAACTGCACGAGGACTGTTATTGTTCTTTAAATGCACGACTCTCTTTCTCTCTCTAGTTTGACGTACTTCGCGTTTCCGCGATTAAATGCATCTATTCGAAAAACCGTTCGAACTGGCATCGATGCGAAATTTTCTTAGCTGGTTTTCCTAACTCTTCAAAATGTGACGTAAGATTGTGCAATTCGACGAGTTTACGAATTTCAATTTAAAAAAGATGTACACAACTGATAGATAAGAAGTTTTATCTGCAGCTGATTTTCGGACTAATAATAGGAGACAAGTTAATTTATTCGTATTAGGTCGAAGATAAAGAGAAAATATCTGCGTTTTTTTGTCTTTCCAGTATCTACGCCACTTTTTTGTCCCTCAGCTGAACACAATATTTTAACCTTGGCCGATCCTGGGTCGAGTTCACCCCAACCCATGCATCTTATTCCGACGAAATTCTACATTTACTGGATTATTCGTTCGGGAAAAATATGTCGTACGCTGAAGCGTTAAAATATTGCAACGAAACCATGGAAACAATTTGCGAACAGCAAAGGGTTGAGGTGTGTAAGCGTTAGGGGAAAGTTGGTTCAAGACGCGAGCAGGTGAAAGGGGTGACGATTCAAGGGTGTCATTGAACATGGCTCCCTTGTATTAAATGGAAAGTCTCGTCGATATCATCACGATAGTCGACGCATACTTCAGCAGGTAGCAAGGGATGAAAGGCAAGGGCGCGAGAGGGCTGTCGATCGATACAACCAGCGACCTAACATTCGACGTGCCTTTCCCTACTGTAATCGTCGGATAAACGTATTTTCATCAATCATGTCGGAAACTTGATTTACCCTCGGTCCATTCATTCATAACATCACGGTTATCTCATTCATTAATATAGAAGTCATAATATGTACGTAAACGAGAAATTATTTATTGTACACTCGCAATCAACTCGGGCTTTCTCAGGGAAAAGGTTATGCCCCTGCAGCACGTCCTTCCCCCTAGGCATCCCCGCGGAGAATGACGCGGTAGTGCAAGGGGCCTCTTATATATAGGCCCGTGGCGGACCACTCGCGCGTCACCGTTTACGCGCGAAAATTTGAACGAACATCGCTATGTTCCCTAGGGAAACTTACGAGTGTACAAATATACAAATAAAAAGCTTTATTACAGAATAAGAACTACATTTACGTTTTCTATTTGAGCTTCAAGCTGAAGAGGTTAGAAACGTATCACAACGTTCCGTTTGCATCGATTGACCCTAACTATAAGTAAAGAATACTTATGGAAGAACCCATCTTCCAATTGATCGTACAAAGTGCTTTACCCAGAAAATTCCCAAGATTTGTAATAGTCGCGTGTACCAGCTTGTATACCGAAATGTAAAAAAACGTAAAGTCGAAACGATCCACGCAAATTCGTAGCAAACGCACACCGTGAGAAGCTAAAGCTAGCGGTACAAAATGAAAAGTTCAAGTGGACTTACCCTCTTCAGCGTTCAGGTCTGAAAACTTTATGCCGCCGCTGAAATGGAAAAAGCAGACGAGGGATGAAACAGTTGGTAATATCAAAGTGTGAGAGGTGGAGAGAGATTCTGAGGAGCATCAAAAAAACTAAATGGAGCGTATGCTTTTTTTTTTCTTTTCTTTAGCTTGCAAGAGAAACTAATCTAGGAAGATAGTGATCTATTTTTCTTTTTATGTACAGCCGTTTCGTAATACATGAGATCCATTTTGTTGGCGAACCGAGGACATAAATACAATGAAAAATTGTATTCCTTTAATTGAATTATTGTTCGTCGCAGGTATCGTTCTGATTTCTTACGTTTCAATTAATTTCTTTTCATTATTTTCGTGTCCTCCATTGGTCATCGAAATGGATACCTCGCGTTATGAAATACCATACGTATAAAAATGCTTTGATTCTTTGGCTCGTGTGAGAAAGGATAAAATATATGGTTGAAACACAGGGGAATGTTGCCCGATTGAGTTTCATTCTCGAATAACTTTCTATCAGCATGCTAGTGTGTCGTTATTCGCTAGCGATTCTTCGAACAAGAAACATCTTACATAATCAATGTCTATACGACGAATAACTGTTCTTTGTAACCGCGTAGAAAATATTCTCGCCGAGTTAATTGATTTTACCGTCGGTGAATCATCGTTTGTCACAATCGTAATTGTATATGATCATTGGATCAATGACAAAGGATGTTGATGCACCGTGTTGTACTCTTGCGTTTTCTTTCGTATCTAATTATGTAAATCGTGTCACACGATCATTGTCTGCTATAAACGTACGATTTTTCCGTGTCTCGATCATTTTATAATATGGAAGAAAGTACGTCGAAAGCTTTGTAAATGAAAAAGAAGCAAAGTGTTACGAGAATCATCGTGTATCGTTTTGAAATCAAAGGGTAATAAGAATCCTATGTAGTTGAGGGGAACGCGAATTTTCAGAATAAAGAAAAGCTTTCGTTAATTTCTTTTTTTCTCGATATCTCTTCCTTTCTCTGTTTCTGTAAATTTGTTTATCGTGTAATTGCATACCTGAGCAGCACAGTCGCTGTCTCGGGAACACGGAACACCTGAAAAAGAAGACAACCAGCGCTCTATCGAATCCACATCGAAGGGTAATTACCCAAAAAACCAATTCTCATATCCAATTCGCCCTTTTTCTTTCTCATCAATTTTTTTTTTCCCCCCCTCGATTCTTCAACAATCGCGTATATACTCTTGCTACGAGGGACATTTGTTGTTGGCATAAAAGATAATTCTTTATCAACGAATACAACAAGACAGGAAAAGAAAAACGTGGTGCACGTAAATAAATATTCGTACAATTTCTTTTTTTTTTTCTTTTAAGACAAAAGCTTTGTTACCAAATGTAACCAAATGCATTTTAAAATAACGAAAAGGTATAGTAAAAAGAAATAGAAATGTTTCAAGATTTCAGGATGTTAACTTACACCCCTTGGTTTAAATTCAATTAATTTAGGGTTCAAAGAAAGGATCACGTAGAAAGAAAACTCACGAGACCGGTCTTTGCAGGGGCAATCATTTTTCGTCCTTTTATACAATATCGGAGTAAGAAAAGAGAAGCATGCCTACCTTCCAACCCATATTCTCAAAGAACGTACACAGCCGCGTCTGCCCGGTCGTTTTACCGCCGCAAGGACCTGAAACAAAAAGCGTCCCAATTTGTTAGTATAGCGACAGTAATTTTTCTTTAATTATACGCTTGGATAATGAGAAAGAAAATTCGCAAATTAAAATTCGTGGACGATAATTGTCGGAGAACAGTAAGACAGGAAGGTTACGACGCGGTCGACCTTGACTTCCGCGATACCACGTGGCTAATGAACTCGAGCATCGTAAATAAAGATGACACGGAACAGGATAGGTCTATGCAAAATAATGCAATTGCAATGTCGAAACTAAATTGCACACTGACCCTTGCCAAATTATCTAGCACCGAGTGTTAATCCACTCTTACCTTAATTACCGCTTTTATTTTCTTTTTTTATATTTTCAGCGTTAAGATTGCTAATTTTCTATAAGCTTGAAAACTGCAAAAAGAATAATTTAAATATAATCGTACCAAGAAAGAATTTCAAGAGTTTTAACGAAGCGGAATATATTTATTTTTTTTTAACTAATCGCATTCACGTTTCAATGCTTATATAGTCACGTGCTTGATAAGGCGGGAATTGATGATCCATTTAAATAAGATTTGAATATTTTTAACAGTGAAACGCTTGTCACTGTCAATAATATCGCGCAACCGTTCCGAAAATTTTGCAACAACGAAATTAGCAAGATAACTATTCGTTGTTGAAATTCTATTCTGCCTTGTATTTCGTGGAGAATCGAAACGATTCGAGAGATCGCATACTCGAAGATCGAGAACATTATCGAACCGAGTATCGTTACGATCAATTGTAGAGGTTAATCGCGTTTGCCTTACCGGCGTATGTTCGATACAATACGATCGAACCAAATCGAACGATGAATCGTCGATCATTACGAACTTTTATTTGCGAAGGTTAATAATTCTAGAACGATCATTCTATTTCTGATCAATGATCCTTGTTAAATTGATCATTGCTGCGACACGAGGAAAAAAGAAAGTGAAAACTTCACTCTAAATTTAGATCTTGCTTATGTTTCGAATACATTATATGTAAGTACATACGGACTTAGAAAATAAATTATTATCCGCTATGTATTGTTACGATGACACATATGTTAATGACTTGAAATATCTGTTTTCGATGATTAATTTTAGATGAGTCGACCTGTCACTGTATTTCATTGTAAACAACATTTCTCGAGTTGCTCCGATTTTATTTACATATATATTGTTGATCTTAAAAGAAAATATACATGATTTCTTTTGGATAATTGAGAAAAATTGTATGTGCAGGTTTATTGCAATTTTCCTGTGCACGTTCCACAAGGAATTCAATCAATATTTTCACGCCCGTGATAAGCTAGCAAAGCATCGTCTAGTGCAACGTAATTGTCACAGAAACGAAAAAGCGGAAGTGAGATACGTATCGTTTCGTTTGCGATAAAAAGTATGACCGAGCAAGGCGATTACAAGGTAGTTCGAACACGTGGTTTCCGTGGATACGTAAATGTCTTCTTCGATGATACTCATTTTATACTAATTGTTCTACAGAATGGAAACATCCGTTCGGGCAAAAATCAATTTTCGGAAAAAAATCATGATTAATGAAATGCATGACAATGAATCATATTTCGTTGGAAGGAAAAAAATAGTTTACCTCCGGTGAGCACCACTTTGTACAGTCGTTTCTGCTCCATGTTGTGTGAACGTTTTTGAGAGCCCTTTTTCACTGACCAAGTCCACGAGGTTGTTTCAGGTCGATGACGATGGATGGATGGATGGATATATCTTCGTTTGGCTCGTGAATGGTGTCTACGGTTGTAACGAATACTACATGAACACTTCACCGTACATTACGATGTACCGCGGAGTCAGATACGTCGGAGACATGGGAATGAAGCGATGGTATATCTCGGACGCAGAAAGACAACAAACTCCCACTTGAGAGAGCAGACGGTCTGACTCGAAATGAAACGATCCGCGGCTTTGGCTAATCGGGTTATGCTACTTGCTACTCCCTCTGTGTTATGATCATGCGCGAAACGGAAACGCACGAATTCATGAGCGCCGTTTACGAACGTATCCGAACGACGCACTTCGGATTTGCCGGAAATTATTAGCTAGAAACTTCGAACTTCACAAAAGTTTTTTTATCGATACTACCTTTTCCTTTTTTATATATTCGTTTCAGCAACAATCGAACATGATTCCCAAACTTCACTATTGTACGATTTATACAGAAATTGTGATATTTCATCGAGAGAAACGTTTCAATCGACGTAACTTTGATGCGCTTTTTTAAACGTATTATACACGTAACGAAATGGACACTTTTACGCGCCAAACATAATTTCGGTAGTACAATAAAAAGAAACGAAGAGGGAGTTTATATAGCACCTTTTTTCTTTTTATCTTTCCATCTTCCATTATTTGTACAATAGCTATAAATTACAACGATCATTCTTAAAGCATACAATAAAAAATTTTTCCACTTGTTTACACAACGAAATTAATTTACAACGTTTTTTTCTTCCTCTCTCATAAAACATACAATTTTTTCATCGCAGTTTTTTTCTCTGATGTTACAGTCAAAAGATACAAGCACCGATTTACATTTCTAATCAGTCTACCTAATTAGTAGTATTTAGAAATATATATATATATATATATATTTAGTCTTACGCATTCGATTTATTACGAGAGCGTTTGTAAATTTTTTTTTACATTTTTCCTCGTGTTAATTGAGTTCAGTGAAATATCAAAAACTTTTCAGTCTATCAAGCAAACGTACGCGTTACAGTTTGACTGTAATTAGTATAATTACATATATCGTTGACACATTTTGTGGTCGTCATCATGAACGTGTCGTACACGTATCAAAAAAAAAAAAAAAGGGGGCGAATATAATCGCACTGCAATTTTATCAGATACTTTCACCGTACTTCTTAATACGATAAAGGCAACAAGTGGAATTAACATCCAGCCCATTAAATAAGATCTTAATTGCTTCGTTAATTTGGCAATTTAGATTTCAATGAACTCTTTGCACAGCTGTATGAAAACCCTTCCATTTGATAAGTCCATTTATAATTTGTGGCCGCACAGTGTTCAAAGTATTGCTTCCATAGCAGTATTATTCTCATTAATTATTTCTATTACATTGCTACTTTTGTGAAATACATTTCCATCGTGTGTAGTTAGCGTTTACAATTTTCCCACATCACTTTTTCTCGCATATACAAATGGTTTCAACGATGTAAGACGGATAAGCGTTTTCGTGTAGCATTGTTGAGGGATGCGTGAAGAGAAATAAGTAGCATAAAGAGTGTCAGTTTAGTTTTATTCAATTTCCTATTTACAGTCTACCTTCCTGTTCCTTTAACGCACACCTATGGTGTACCATCTTAAATTCGGATAAGTAACACCGAGAATTGAACAATGAGAGGAGAAACAACCTTTTCTTTATTTTTGCGTCTACTTAAGTGTAATTTGCATTGGCCTCTTTGTATGCCGACAGGTTCGTTCATAGAATGAGACTAAGTATACGAACCATTGTTGTATCGCTCTAATGTATTGCATACAAAGGTGACTATAATTTCGTTTATCTAAGTTTAAGGCAAAAACTTCCATTGCATTTCACACAATTCACGTGTAATTTATTCTCTCCTCTACCACATTTGTTCCCCCTGTTATCTTTCAATAACGTCCGTGCATAATTGCACGTATTCTGCGAAATGCGTACTTAATAAGGTACGTTTTTTTAAGCTATTTTGTACTCCGAAATTCGTACGCAAACACGTTGTCCGTTTGATATGAAGTTCTGCTTCGGAATCGCTGCGAATGCAGAAAAAGGCAACGTTTTATCGTACTCTGTTCTTTTGTGCCGAAGAAGAAGCAATATCGGTAGATTTTCATCTGTATTTATTTGAAGCAAAAGAGTCCTTACAGAAGACAGATTCATCCTGTTAACTAAATCTTGTCAATTTTTTATTCTTTTTCTTTTTTTTTTAAAATGACAAATATTCGACAGTGTTAATCACAAATTTCGTCCAAACGTCGCTCGAATATACATTAATCAATTAACATACACCAGAATTGATACCACGTTAGAATGCAACCGAACATAATAATTGCATAAAGCATCGTCATGCTTAGTTTGTTCTTTATATCCACAGACCAGTTTGTGTCTATTAAAAAAATAATATCCAACCTGTTGTACATAATAAATAGATGGTTAAGCAATATCTCTTATCAATAATATCATTGTTAAGAAGGCTTTCATCGGCAATGGAGCACGTTCTACTAGTTAATTTTCTTGAATAGAAATTGTTAAATAAAACTGTTTATATTATGTTTATATAAAAATAAGATTTAAAAATAACTTTTTTATTTTACTTTTTTTTTACAAACTAAATTAGAAGTTATTAATTGAATATACAAGATTATTCTGTTCAAAGTTTGTGTACGTTTGTACTGTTAATTTGTTGCTGAAAGTGTATTTTTCGTGTTAACAAGCTCTAGTAATCTGTGATATTGAAGGAAGAAAAACTACACATTACTTTGCGCAATATCCAAAGAAGAATATCTAAAGAATTACATTTTTATCACATTACTATATGTCTTTTTGATTTTTCAATATATAAAATTCATCAAACGTCACGATCAAAATTAACTATTTTATATTATTATCGACCTATTATTCTTTACCTATATTTATATATGTACAAACAAAAATTTCCGAATAAGAAACCTTAATGTGCATATAAAGAAAAAATAGTTTGAGTTCTGTAAGAAGGTATATGAGCAATGTATATTAATATTGTTGTTATAAACATTGTGTAATGCATAACATAGATTAGATAGCATATCAGTTATCTCAGGATTCAAGACAGATTACTAATATGAAATTTCATTTCTTTAGTTTAAATCAAATATATATCATGAGTAAATAAAAAATAATCAATGATCTTCCTGTGTAGAGATTATTGCACAAATGCAAATAAATAAAAATTAAATGAATTCGAATATCTGGTTACTAATTGATCAACATACTAATTACCATATTTATAAAAATACCGTAAATAAATTATGGCAATAATGTTCAACAATTACAATAGTCATGCAATAAATAACTGGTAACAATGATTAGAGTGGTAACGCACTGCATATTATAATAAATATCAAAAAAGTTTCTTAAACATTATGTATCATACCAATCGATTCTTTGCACAAACTTTAATGGTATTCCCATGTAAAGTAATTCATCACGTGTCTTATGCCTTATGTCTGGATTGTAATAAATGACTGCTTGCCAACACATTTCCGATAATTTCGGGATAGTTAACCAAACAGAATGAACTGCATCTGTCCTATCAAGCTGTAATGAAATACTTCCAAATAACATCAAATAAACGACTTAATAAAATTGAAGATAGAGAAGATAGAGAAAATAAGAAAACAATAACAACCTCGTTATTTTCTCTAACTATTCCTCCAAATGTATACATCCTCCCTTCAGGTGTAAGAGCTGCAGAATGAAAATATACAGGGCACGGAAGTATACATTTTCTTAAACACGTCCATTGTAGGAGACTCAAGTCTAGTCTCCAAACATCAGAAAAGACATGATCACCATTGTATCCTCCAGATATTACTACTGAGGTAACTCCTGTCTTTTCATCTGTATACTGAACAGAACCGTGACAACGTCTAGGTTCTGGTACTGTATTATCGTCACTGTCTCCATATGTATTTAATACTATCCATTTATTTGTTGCTAAGTTAAAAGCAGGAATCTCCTGAAAACAAATGTAATTAGCAAATACATGTTCAAGATTTTTAATTTAATTTTGAACTCAACAAGAAACATTAGGATATATCCTCTATCACCTACAGAGAAACCAAATGCTTCTGCAGCTGTTCCTCCACCCAAAACATAAATAAGTTTTCCATCAAATGCTAATTCATGCCTATATCTTCCTGTTGGTTCACTTTGATCTCTCCCAGAACATATATAAACAGGTTCCCAAACACCAGTTCTAAGGTCAAATCTATGAATATCACAAGTATATTCGTATCCGGTAGTCCCACCGACAGTGTATAAATATGATCCATGGCATATTAAAGCTTGTCCATACTGAGGTTCAGGCAATTCTCCTTTCGCTGGTACAGTATACATTTTGCCATCATCAACGTTACACACGTATAGATGATTACTACAACTTTGTCCGAATGGTACACCGGTTCCGCCGTAAACCATCAGGGCGTTTCCCCTCAATATCACTGCGTTAGATGCCAATTCATTAGGCATATTATCTTGACCCGGTAAACGCTTCCATTGTTGTGTAACAAGATTAAACTTCCAAACTTCCTTGAAAAGTGGTTTACTAGCACTCCATATTTCATCATTTCTCATGTCTGGATCATTGTCGGTGATACATGGATTAAAACCACCGTAAGAATACAAATTCTTATGATTACAGACTATTCTATGTCCACTTCTAGCTTTCGGACGTTCCACGCTCTGTGCTTCATGTTTCATGAACACAAATGGTTTGAATGTGTACATCTTTGCCAATTAATTGACGATTAAATGTATCGTCCGTTTCTAAAAAAGGTAGTTAATAATACGTGAAATGTTCGTCGTCAGGATTTTAGGACGACATTCAAGAAAGATTGTTTAAAAAAAAACATGTATAACATTCGTACATATCATACAACATATATGCAATCAATTTACTCGTCCTATTGAGGTTTGTACGTTAAAATAAACGTCGTACTGTTTTTAATAAACACGTGAGCATTGTTTCGATGTAAATTACAAATTTTCAATACAGACATTTTGCATAAATTCTGTAATACATCTGGTATACTTTTTCCACATCGGCGAACATGGCGTAATACGATAAAATTTTTTTTTCACCAATTTCGTCGATCGCTATTTTTACAATAATTACAATGTGTTTTGCTGCAATTTAATTTTATAGTTTGGCTCTTAAAAGCCACTTCTTTTTTTTATCCACATGCACATATAAGTTTATGCGTCATTTAAAACTGCAAACTTGTTCTTTTAAGCCTAACCAGCAACATAACTGCGGTTGCGCAGCGTTGATCAGCTGAGCAACTGAATTCAATCATATTCACTATATATAAGATTGCTGTACAAATTATTTTAATTATAATTTAAGAAGTAAAATATACAAGATTTAATTGCAAGCATCGAAAAATTCATTTACAATAATACTGTGTATTAAAATTTTAAATAAATAAACATGATGTGCCTCTCATATCCATATATGGTTCTTGTATAACTTCCTACAAAGTATAAAACGTTTTATGTGGCAACAATCTTGCTGTTTTATTAGAAACGGATATATATGTCATATGTTGTTGTAAAGTAATTTATTTAACACCTTGAAAATACTTAGCAAATCTATTTTTTATCTTTTTTTAATGTTATATTTGAAAATAGTACCGCTAACACCATCTAGCAGCAAACAATAAAATATTATTTCAACGAGAGAGCAATGGTTGCGCACATGCAGATTGATGCAGCTATATGTATGAACAGTAATACCAGTGATAAAATAAAATACATAACCTGATCTGTCAAATTACAAGATATAATTGACTAATACAAAGTTTTTTTGTATATTAAATTTTCATTTGATAATTTTGTTTTCAATGTAGTTCATTGAGTAGGTAATTAGGTGCGTTTAAACAAATGTAAATGAACACTGAAAGGAGTTTCAAAGTAATAATAGAAGTACCTGTATTTTATATGCAATGTTCATAGTCATTAATAAAGTTATTCTACTTTCATTTTTTTACAGTTAGTCCTTAATTATGTTTGAATTACCACTAGAACTAACAACTAAGCCATTAGCTTTTATTGGCTTAACTGGCTTAGATATTGCAAATCCTGTACATCGTTCAATTTGGGATACATTTAGTAATAATAGAAGATTAGAAAGTTCTGCCATACAGTTTAAATTGCTTAGTCCTACACATGAATTTCCTACAGTAAAACCCAAGGTATATTATATCATGTGTAAATGTAATATATTAAGAACTTAATAATACTGGCTAAATATTTTTTAATATTGACTCATGTATTCCAGCGTAATTCTTATGAATGGTACATACCTAAAGGAATATTGAAACGTAATTGGATGAATAAATATCTTAACGAAGTTCCAGCAGTTGTTGTTGTGTTTTATGATTTGGATTGGAATGACCCACAGTGGAATGAAAAGAAAATGGAATGTGCTTCTAAGGTCCAATCATTTAGGTACAAATTATATCTAAAAATGTATAATATTATTATTGTAAATTATTACTATTTTACTTGCTTATTATTTTAGAAATGCTTTGGATGGGAGAAGTACAAAAATAGCTGTGGTACTCATACAACATTGTACACAACCTCTGCCAGGTTCTGAAGATACTATTGCACCTGAACGTGCTACAGCAGTTTGTGGAGCATGTGAACTCTCTCCAAAATTATTATATGTTTTACCACATGGAGATCATTTGTTAGGATACATATCTAGGTAATTGATAAATTAATTATGTGTGGATGTTATTTAATTCTGTGTTTTATTATGTATATATTATGCATATATTTATAGACTGGAAAGTGCATTGTATGATCTGGCACAGAGTTTTTATCATCATGAATACCGTATTGTTAAAGGACATAAAGATCAGCTTAATAAAACAACACATAAAAGTGCACACAAACATTTGTCTGTACGCCATCAATTTAAAATGGCATTTTTTAATGAACTGAAACAGGATCAAAATTTAGCTTTAAAGTAAGTTTAACAATATCAATAATTATTGTGCTTTTAATTAAGAGATATGCAATTATTTTGTAGACACTATAAGCAAGCATTTAATAATTTGTTGGAAATACAAATAACAGATACAAATGCAATGGAAATTAAAGTTGTTGCTTCTTTCATAAATTATAAGATATGTAAAATAATGTTCAGTTTAAATGCTCCTAAAGAGGCTGTATCACATTTTAGACATCATACTGACAGGTCAGCAATAATAACTAGAATAAAGGATCTGTAATAAGAACCATAATAATAATAATATAAAATTGATAATGCAGCTTCAAGTTGTGGACAGGTCCAAAGAAACTTATGTTTGAACATCATGCTTGGATGTGCAATCAATTTTCCACATTTGCAGAATTATTTGATGATGCTATACGACAAGGACTTCCTGCTGTTCAAACGCAACATCCTGGATATTATTTCCAGTCGGCAGCTCATCATGCAAGCTTAAGACAAGCAAGTTGTAAAGAACTTTGTCAGGTATAAGAATTAGTATCTGTAATAGACAAAAGTATGTAATGAAACTTTTAAAAATAGCAATATATTATAATCGTTTTAGAATGTTAATAGTTATCCCGAACCGGATCCATTAGCCGGAGAGGAGAAACTTGAATTTTACGGACAAAGACCATGGCGTCCCGGAAAATTAAATGCTGAACTTCCAGATCTCGCGAAAGAAGCAATTGCTATACAAGCTTTGCAATACAAGGAGAAACATACGGTCGATCACTCCGTAAGAAGCATTTGTTGTACTACTTCTGTTATTTGCAGTACTTGATTATATGAAAATAATTTATTTATTTGTAGCAAATCATTATTGGCTTGCTAGGAAATGCAATTTCACAGTTCAAACTGTACAGATGCCCAAGAATGAGGAGAGTATTAGGTACCATACGTCTGTTTATTTATTACAAAAATATTTTATTTACGTATTATATGCGATAATTATGTTTCAGTTGTACAGATGGCTGAAGAGTATTATAATTGTAAGGATTATGGAAAAGTTTTGACGTAAGTCGAAATTTAAATGCTACTATACTCATGAAAAATTTGTTAAAGCTATCAAAAGAATTTTTATTATTCTTTAGTCAAATCATTGACCCTAACATTATTTCCTCTAGACTTATTTCATAACTTAACATCAAAATCATAAAATTTGATTGGCCAGATTATTGATGCACATGTTGTGGGAATATCACGGTGAACGGTGGCCCCTCTTAATCACAAATATCTTAAAGAATGCCCTGCGAGCAGCGTATCTATCGACAAGCATTCAGGACTACATCACATTAGCATTTGAAGCTTTGGGACCTACTGCTGCATTTTCAGAAGATTACAAAATTGCGGTTTATAATAACATTATTAATATCCTTCACGTAAGTAAATTCCTAATACCTACTAGCTAATGATTCATGAAATAAAATGCTAATCTAAAATAATAGAAAAAACCTCCAAATCCGGAACCTGATTTACCCGATGATATGAGACATACTGCATTAGAAAAATGGGTAATGGAACTTAATCGGCCAGAACCACTTGTTTTTACAATCGATGACAATAACATGAGTTCATTTATAGAAGTCAAAGCAAGGTTTTTACAGCCAAAATATGCCGTTAATTCCACAATTGATACAGAAGTTATTATCAGGTAATTTTACTTAATGATTTGTACATACATAGAAAGAAGAGTTGTTAAGAAGGTTTTAATTTTCAGAAACTCCTACAGCGGTAGTGTTGAATTTTCTAAAATAACAATAACAATTAGTAGTCCAGGGTATAATTCCGAGTTCGCTGTTACTGATGCCGAGCAGAGCAATCTCGTTTTTCATGGGAAAGAAATGAAGAAATTTTTACACCAATTTCAAGCACCTCAACAAAACGATAGTAGTGAAATACGCATCACCACGATCTCATTACACATGGGCAATGATACGTGTTGCATTATTTTGAGATTTGCTGCGATGGGAAGGGAAACAAATTGTTTGAGTCTATTGTGCCCTGAAATACAACAACTTCGGTACGTTTAAAAAGATACAGATACTCAGAAATAACTCGCCAAAAAACTAATGCACTTTATGTTTATAACAGTAGAGGAGAATTTGAAACGATACAACCACTAGTTAGTGCGGAGATAAAACAGGAAGAATCTAGTCTCAGTATAAGTGCAGAATCTAACAACCCAGCACTCGTAGGGGAATGGCTTCCCATTAAAATAACTATTACTGCTAATGAAAGCATATTATCAGCACTCTTAACCGTATCACTTGTGTCTGATGGAACAAATGAACAGTCAAGTATATACGTTCCAATAAAATATCTAACGTTATCAAATTATATATTGAATTTTTTAATTTAAATTTCATTATATTTTAGCGGAATTAAGTTTAACAATGCAGAACAAGCAATCTGTAGTATCTGTACCGATCGATAATTTAGGGAGCAATTCCAATACTCATCAGATCGTCTACTTCCGAGCTCATAAAGTTAGCGATCGAAACATTCACGTGAAGGTACATTTTATCATTTTAATTATTGATAAATAAGATGATACGTATGATTTTATAATTCTAGGTGAAATATTCAAGATCTGAAAATATAAAAGGATCTAAAGAATTAACTTATTCATTGTCAGTTACAAAACCATTTGAAGTATCAACACTATTTTATACCATGCTTTTTGAACCATTAGCAAAGGGTTTCATTGATGAACCGTTTATAATAATGCCTCACATTTCTTGTGTTTCTCCATGGCCTATAGACATTATAAGTACATCTGTAGAATTGGTAAATAATATTTCTCTTTTCTATTAGATTTTTATTTTATATAATAATAATGTAAGTGTAATTCTTACCTAGGGAGACTCTATAGAAAAGGGAAATGCAGATCAATCAGTTTCTATTTTAGCTGGTATTACTCTTTCTAAAGATGAAACCGCCACAGATTCGTATTGTTTGGTACCAAAAGTAGGTGGCGAGCAACCTGCAAGTACCGGAGTGTACACTATTAAATGGAAACGGTAAAGATTTTTGTGATGTTATAAAATGATTTAATGTTTTAATATTAATGTATATCATTTTAGTGCAAATGATGAAAACGCGTTAGAAACAAGTAGCAGTGTTACTTTAGCTCCTTTGTGGGTCGAAGATGCGGTGATTGGCGTGGAAGCTAAGTTACCAGCCCATGGTTGGGTTCGCACGCCATTACTTGTATCGTACTTCATAAAAAATCATTCTGATTGTATGATTACGTTACGATTGACTATGGAAGCTAGTGCTGCGTTTATGTTCGCTGGGCAAAAGCAGGTAATTAAATTACAGAAAATATAAAAATTCATAATTTAATCATTACCTTATAATATTTGATTTTTTTAGATTGATATTTATATACTTCCGCAAAATGAAAGAAAAGTTGAGTGGATCTTACGACCACTCGTGGCAGGTTTTGTGCAACTTCCAACGCTATCTTTAGCAATTCCTGCTGGTAATAATTTTATCCGTCAATACATATCTAATAATCATACTACGGTATTTAATTATCTCTCTGTTTTATCTACAGACGAAGAATATAAATTAAATAAGGTACGACTGTCGGAAGTAGTGGAGAGGTCGATACCGAGTCATGTATACATTTTTGTAAGTATTAAAAACTCTGTTAATTTAAAAATTACATTCTAATTCGAACAATTTCTTTTTTACAGCCGACATCACAAAATTTAGAAGAATAAATGAAATAGAGAATATTTCCGAGAAATAGTAGAAAAAGAAACAGAATTTTGTTCTCTTTTATCAAAATGTATTATATTGAACCTGATATATTTTCCACGTATTCTTAAATATATACCAATTTCATATCTAGGAATATGAATAATAATTTTGTTAAATATAATTTATTTAAGTTATTTTATATTGTAATAAAACAGTCCTTTGTCCCTTAAAGAACGTGAATCTATTAAACATCTATAAAGTAGATATTAACTAAAAATGGGGCCTTCTCTCCATGGAGCATGAGACATCGACATTTTCTCAAAGGAAATCTACTATACCCGATACTCGGTACTGCACATTGACATCAAAGATTTCTCTGCACGATCAATGATTAAATCGACCGCGTTACGGTCATTAAAAAAGAAGAAATGCGTCAACAGTACAGACAATGAATCTGAATCGTTATCAACTGTCTACACACTTCCGTGGAAGCGGCTTATCGCGGGAGCGTTAGATGAAGTTAAAAATAGAAAGCACGTTTAGTATAACACGTACAGCCTAATGACCTCAGTTCGTGCCTTGATAATTATCTATCTTGAAAGCTCGAGATCATCGGCAGATACGTCGGACAGGTACGTCTATGTATATAAAGATCGCGCGCGTTGTAATCTCGTTACAACGTATCATTCGAGCTTACCGTGTTAGCTGCGAATTAAAAATTTTAGACATCTGATAGATGAATGAAATAAATCAAAATAATATCAGTAAATAACCGCAACTAACGTGTTAAATCGAAACAGTTGAACGATAGATCCTGAGATTTCGGGGGTCCGAGGGGAGCTCCGAAAAAGGTCCCCTTTACATATACGACATAAAAAAAGGTACCTTAAATAAAATTTATAAAATTAACATTAAAGCTGGTATAACTAATTTAGATTGCATTTAAATTGATTAATATTTCAGTAAACATTACTCTTCTTGCATTCGTAGATGCAAAATCGTCTTATGGGGGCCTTGGACCTTGGAGGGCCCTAGGTGGCCGCCTAGTCTGCCTAAGCTCAGGGCTGCCCCTGATGATAGATTACCGAGAACGTACTATTACATCAAAAGACGTACCAAAACCGATGATATTTTTAAACCCAACAGGCGTCTAATTAATTTAGATAAAAATGTCTTCCAACATTATATAGATAAAATGATATTGCATAACGGTATATAACGTAGCCATTTCCTCCAAAAATAAAATTCGAAGAATCATTGCTTCCGTCAGTTGAATACTGATACGCGGCTCTATTTTGCTATATTTATACAAATACAAAATCTATCTGCACAGTCCAATGAAAGAACGAAGGAACGGTTGTTGTGCATGACTGCCTGATGATTATGTCACGTTTTAATACAAACAATCGTTATATTAATAACAACTGGCGATTGCAATCAGACCTTCTCCTCTTCGTTCTTCGATTAGCCGGTTCCTGTTTACGATATTATTATCTGAAAGTTTAATAATAGCCGTACGAGGTGGTAATGATACAGAAAAGATGCGTTTCTTTGATTACGATGAAGAAGCGATCGTTTAACGGTGTAAGGATTACGATAATAGTTGTCGAGGTTGAAATACAATTAATCGTATGATCAAATTTTTGTTAAATTTTAAATAAATCACCCATCTGTTGTCGATGATTAATTGTTGGTTTTTTTTTTTTTTCAAGTAATTATAATAAATGATACCAAGAATAGTAAAGTTGATTCGACAAAACAGGTAGATAAGAATTTCGAGATTGTGTATTTTCAATAAAAACAGGATTTCGATAAGACGACTATATCCTTGCGAATTTCTTATCGAGAGCCATATTTCACCGAATTTCGATGAGATTACATATCTAGGAAACAAGGTGATGTTACACCTAACGTTTATCTGTATTCGCTCTTTTACAGCGCTCGTGGTGATAAAAATTGGTCGAACGGTGAGAGTAGATGTGTCAAAAATATGATGGATTACGAGATTTATTTTCGACGGTTCGTTATTTTTAGCCGCCTACTTCTGCGTCATTATTAATTTGATAGAACACCTGGAACGTGCGGGCATTCAGGTCACTCCTAACAGAAATATTGATAATTAGTATCGATCAAGAGGAAGCTACCCTTGGCGTTCAAAATTTTTTCACTAAAGACAACATTAAATACGACATAAATTGATCTTCTCCCTTTTTACGTGACTTTTTTCCAAAGACAAACAACCGCTAATAATTATCGTAGGTCACCGATGACATTCGTTACGTTATTAACTTCCATCGAATTTAGAGACTTATCGTCGCATTAATATTTTCCGATGTTTATGCGCACCAGAGGTCTCAGACACCCTCTCCGTTTACTTTATTTTATCACGAGACCCACATAAAAAAAAATCGTGACCAAGAAATCAAGTCAGACCGTCACGAAATAATCGCGTTACATGCAAATTAAAAAAATTGTAATAACTTAGAAAATTCTGACCATTTTTTACAGTCCGATGCTGCCGTTACGTTTATCGGTACACGTTTCATTCTCTTTTGAGAGTCTTCAATTATCGCGTATATTTCTTATCGTTAAACTGCGAACGCGTTTATGGCAGATGGAAATGTTCGTAACTATCATTTCGCGGCGTCGGGTAAGCGTCTATGAACTTTGACGAGTAGCAATGTAAATCCCATAAAGCAGATAAAACCGGTGGCAAGAAAAGTGATTTAATTCGTCTTCTATCGTCTTAAATAAGCGTTACATTCGTAACGTAAAGTGCAATAAACCTCGTGACTCTAGGAAACTCGAGAAGAAAAGACGAAGAGGCTCACGGCATTGGATCGAGGAAGTATTTGCTGGTACGATGTTATTATCTCGTCACGGAGAAGCGTTAATTAGGTAATTTTTCTTTTCGCCCGGAGAAGATAATAATCGAACGATCAGAATTTTCCGACTCGCATTGTCTTTGTCGCATTAATTTGCAAACGAGTTACCACAGCGTGAACGATAGTTACATTAATTTTAATATCGTCGCCTGGTATCATCTCGCGTGCTTCTTTGCATTTTTCAAAACATCGACGTGGCTAAATATAACTCGATTAATATACAAACAGCAATGAATGGTTGCTTCATTCATTTTGTAAATCCGTTTGCATTTGTCTTAGAAAGAGAATCAAAGAATTTCAATGGTATAATTTTATATATAAAATATTATTCGTGCAACGCTAAGTCCCTAATAATGGAGAAGCATTTTTGTTCGTTCGCTTAATAAATAAATTTTTTGTCCGTCCGCGAATTAGGTCGATGGGATTCGTTCGATCCATAAGGTTTATTGTTGGATCGAGCTGTGTTATTAATTCAACCAGCGTTCCAGATACGATTACAAGGGAGGTAAAAATCGTTTGTTGAAGAGGGCACGGTTTTTCGATCTTTAACACGAGGTAAATGAGATACGCAATCACCGAGTAGATAGGCTACTCGGTGTTTACAATGCTTTTAAGACGCACCTTGTAAGCAAATATGCAACGAAGGCCGTGGGTAACAGAGGCGCGATGTGTCTATTTTAATTTTGCATGTGCAATGTGCTCGGCCGTGCTGTGAAACTTAATAATAAAATTAAAGAAACACAACGGAGCCGTGAAACGACGCTGGTAAACATCGATATGGAACTGAAGAAAATCGTATCGCGGATATCTCTTCGGAGCTTCGTCGGATTAAAATGACTCAGATTTATCTGAAATAAATAAAAAAAGCATCGATTAGATATTAAGATTTTATAAAATGAAATTAACTTGGTCCACCTGTTTAAGTTGATCTTGTGTTATTTCATTTCTTTGTACTTTAAACAACTTTCTTCACCCTCTTATTTCAGTTCCTTGTTATGGTTTACCTTTTCTACTTGTTTGTTCTCCAACTCTTCCTCGGTGATACCTTACCTCTCCAACTTTTGGTAATTCATGACCAAATATTTTAAAGTTTCCAGTTGCTGTTTACATAAACGGTGCTTACTTCCTTTGCACCTCTTCCAGTCGATATTCTACTCTCCTTTCAATCTTTCTTTAGTTTCTTCATTCATCTTTATGCATCGTTCAGCTTTGGTTGCAGCATTCTTTTTTTCGATCCATCAGCTGACAGCAAATAGGAAGATTCCAAAGAAGAAAAAATCAAAGTTCATGGACGTTCTAATTAACAATTCTGTTCGTTATCTTGTCTGGTTACTTCTGGTAAAATTATTTCATTTTCAATGGGCAAGAGTCATTGTTGTCATACCGTTTACTTATTCAACCCATATCATCAGACGTGTACAGAAGTTATTGTTAACGATCAGACGTGTAAAGTGGAAGAGAGGGATGTTTCGCACGGTGGATCGCAAACAACTGATTTAGACGTCGTACGTGAGCATTGTGCGAGATGAAAACTAGCTCCCGTTGAAATTAGCATGAGAAAACGTTGTGTGAAACGGGATTGAAATACATGCTCCAACAAGCACAAGTCGATGTGACAAGGAGTACCGTGTCTATATACCGGTACAATAATAAAGTATCTTCTTGACGTAACCAAATATATCTGAACAGACAAAGAAAAAAAGAAATAGAATTTAATGCATTATTCTGCAGTGCATCTGTGACTAGGATTTACGATAAACAAGATATTTCTGGTAAACTTCATTGTACGAACCTGGCATTTTAATTATTTAAACAATACCTAGGGATGGATTGGGACTGAAATTTGTACCAGAAGATGATTAGCCCTCTTGTAATGAATAAGTTTAATTAAACCCCTTTTCTACCAATCTATCCAGGAATTGTTCTAAATTCCCAATGGCCAGTCTACCCTTGGATATACGATGAAGAAAATGATAATCCACTACGGTTACAGTGATTCTCCATATCAGATACGGATCATCGAGATCTAATCAGTCTGTAATAATTGGAGGCTGATTTTTTCGCGTGAAGAAGAGTCTTCCGGTGATGCGGACAATATCGACAAGGTGTAGTGACTCATTTGACACGATGGCATCGCGTATTATGTCAGAATACATCGTATGAAATGTGAGATGCTCGTTAGTCTCGTTCCAGGTGGCTCGTTATCGCCTGCTACCAGTGTGTCAAGTATCACATAAGTTAGCCTCAACGCGTGACACTCGTGTAATACCTAGTAAAGGGAAAATTATGAAAGAACCTCGTCATTCAGAAATAAGGAAAGAAGAAAAAAAAAAAAATTATAAGGAATCACCTGTGTAGGTGGATGCTGAAGAAAGCGGTCGTTTTTCAAGCATGGAAGTGGAGAATCGACTGCATCTGAAAACAACGATAAATTCAATTAGTTGGTTTCTTATGTTTTTTTTAGGATTTTTCAAACGTCAGAGGTATTCCAAGATTTGGACTGGCGTTTGGACTTGGATCGTGGACGGTTAAGTCCCGGAAGGCTTACTTTCCAACGAAAATATTTAACGTGGAATTAATGGGATACGAACGCGACCATAATCTATGTCTGTGATGGGATTATGGTAATGCAACTCGTTTGCTGCTCGACGTACGATGACATTTAGATTTAACCGCCGCGGAAATGTGACCGAAAAAGTACAAAAATCGTCGGATTCGGAGCGATACAAATTTGGCGCTAATTTAAATTAAATTTAAATTAAATTAAGGAGAAATGAAATTTGCATCGTTTATTGATCAAATCGAAATCTTGCCTGAAAGCCGTCTGAAAGGCATAATTAAAAAAAAACTATTACATGCTAATTTGCAATGTATATTCAGAACTCGAAACGACAAACAAAGTAGCTGCACGTAGACGAACGTTAGGATCATCGAGTCATTGGGTTGTGTAATTCTTGGCACATTGTTTTGCTTCTCGAATACCTTGTACCTGCTATACACACTGAAAACATTGTTTCTTTCGCTTTTATCCAAAGATCATTCTCAATAAAATCTCAATAAAACATCAATAGCGTTTGCGTGTTCAACATTTCTAAAATTTTCTAGTATTCCACCGCGTTCGAGTGTCGTGAACGTTCTAAAATTTCTTGCTGAATGTCAAGGACCAGAATTTACGTAATATAGAATTGTGAAAGACACGAATCGTCGGGAACCGAGAGGAGGAAATGAATTTTTCTATCGCATCGAAAATAAGAAAATCTGTTCGCTGAATTAATTCTGTCGTTGCAGTTTCCGTTGCGTCCCAGTAAAATTTCGTTTCATCATCGGCAAGGTGTTTATTCGTTCCTCGAACTCGAGTGTCTACCTTTAGAGATACCTTTTTTTTCCTCTTCCTGACTCATCGATTTCCTTTCCGATTCTTGTATTACTCGCAAGAATAATTTGACATTTCCTAGAAGATTTCTCATTGTACTTTGCCGTGGTATAATCAATGCTTCATAGTATTCAATTACCGTACGACGAAGCGAGCGTACCGTAAGAGAAATCATCGTTTCCTTCAGCAAAACACATTTTGCAAAAACGTCGTCGTTGCGTTCGAGATATTTGCGTCGATGAAGAGATTTGACACGGCTTTTATAATGATCATCATTTGCGTTGCCAGGATGCGTTCGTAAAAGGCGATGTAAAAATGAACGAATACTCTGTTCCTACCTTTCGTTTCGTTTAATTCCATGCAATTTCGTATCGAATATTCCTGAGCAGAATGATCAATTTCGAAGTACGAGAAACCTTATCGATCCCCTTCGTCCGAGCTATTTTAACCCTTTGACTGAGAGTTAAATTAAGAATATAATTAGAAATAGAGGAGGATAAATCGTTTGAAAAATATTCTGAAAAAAGAATTTTCAAAATCTCTAAGAATGATTCATTTAAAATTCTTGAAAATTCTCAAAATCATTTCCCAAGAGTATCATTAAACCCCTGGTTACCAAAAAAGAATACGCTTCGATATTCTTCTCAATTTCGAAAACTTGTTCAATATTGCATATTTGTGGGATGATGCTAGGTTGAAGGAAGTGTGAAAAGAAAGAATCCCAAAGGGTTATATACGTTATGATTTATCGTAGAGACAGGGTGGTGTTTGCGAAGTGCAATCGGCGCCAGGGGAACACGTGTAGAGGGACGTGGAGGAGTTGGCAGAGCGACAGAGGTGGTTCTCGAGTAGAAGAGGATTTGTTCGCTCTTCTATCGGGAAGGAGTAAGCGAGCAAGGAAACACGGACCGTCCCACGACGGTGCAAACTCGTGGTGGGGTATCAGCCACGGCTTATCTGGCGACTTTATGTATATTACGATGCCCAAGGCAGGAACACGAACAGTTCACTGCTGGCTAACTGGTCGAAGAAGTCGGCTAAACCGAGTGTGCCGAGAACTCACGGTACCGTTAACCGTGTTTCATACGGAGAGATAGATCAATTCGTACCTGAGCTACCTGTGCAGAACCTGAAACCAGGTGCGCGATACCACGATCGTAGTGAAGCGGACCGGAGAAGTTTTCATTTTTGGGGAAAAAGGAAAGAAAAAAATCTTTCCTCTTAGTGATCCAGGATGATCGTGCTAGCGTGGTCATTGTTCGTGCTGGTCTCATTACTCGTCGCTACTAATCAAGCCTTCCTGACGGCTCCTGCACCAGGTACTGGTTCTTATCAATTATTCTAATCGTGCGATACGGCAGAGAACGTGCGATATCTTGTATTCTCCTATACAAGGCGTTAGAGGTCAATGATGATATTTTTATATTTATAGATCGACCAGTCGTTATTGGTGATTTATCGCGTGAATTAATTTTCTATAAAACGTGGATAGTGATTTTTATGAGAAGAATCGAACGGAAATATATTACCGCGCTTTCACCGTGATACCAGATGTGTTGGAATATTTTTTCAGACGAAAGTTTGAGTAATGGTTTAAAGTGCCGGTTAAGGAAGCACGTGGAGTCGCGTGCCAACTTCCGAATTTCTATTTCGCCTACACGCGACACATTTTCTCCGCTGTCGAAAGCTATTTCCATCGAAACTTCTCGTATACGTGATCGTGTGTGACTTTCTCGTGTTTGATAACAACGGCATTAGTATAAACATTGAACAGTGCTACATGGGTTTTGTTGCTGTTCGAGAAAGTCTGACCGAGACAGTGATTACTCAAGATACACAGGATAAGTCTGTGTGATTATTATAGATCACAGTTTTTTTTTCCCTCGATACAATTAGAAAAATATAAATAGATATTTCAAAGAATATATTTCATTTATAGAAGCATATTTAAAGTGTAAGGTCAGTACCTACTGCAGTGATAACAGATATATAGGGACACGTGCAGTCTAGAATTTTTTTTTAACATTAGATTGCCAGAGCGAGTCAATTTGACTCATTTACGATTTTATTGCTATATATAGAGAAAAATTTAAATAATTTTTTTTAAAACATATGTTCGTTTTTAATAGAATATTAATTTCTTCCCCTCCCACTCCTTAGTTCTAAAAATCCATATGTGCTATACCTATTTTGACGGATCTATTTGTCCGGCAATCTAGTGTTAATTAAAAAGAAGGATAATAGAGGAAATAATTCTCCTATTCGCTTTTTGCCTATAATTTTGATGTATGTATGAAGATTGGGAGTTTTAATTTGTCTCTACCTGTTTTTTCCTGTCTCTCCCGGCTCTCCTCACTTTCCCTCTTGAATTTTTTGACTTCTCCCAAGATAGAAAGCAAAGCAGACTCCTTTTCTTACATATCCTCAACTCACAAAAGCTTACATAATGAGAATGATTAATTTTGCAAGTTTCAAAAATCATAGATCTGCTTTCCTCCAAATATTCGAGGGAGTCGAATTCTTCGGCATCTCTTTCATATAAAAGTCTTGTTAAAATTAGATGATTCTGAAATCGTACATTTCCCGTGCATCTAGTTTTAACTTGAAACGACAGGGGAGAGATGAGAGAATTTAACTTGAATCGTTGCCACGTGAAATTATGGCAGACTTGGTGAGTTTCCAGAGTTCTCCGTTTAATTTCACCTGCTGTCCTCGACTATCAAAAATTTCTGACCTCTCTATCAAATATTTTATGGAATAAAATTCAAAATAGGTTGTTTATCGAATTTCAACCGATCAATAATCGTTGGTGAAATCGAACGGCATCAAAGGGGTTAATTAAAGCTCGTACCAACGATCTCATTTTATCAGAGGATTAACAATTTTATTGTGATCGAGCAGATTAGAATTCTCTCTATTTTTACTCTCCCCACTCTGATCGTATCGCGCTCTCTCTCTCTTTGTGTTATTAATAATCGACCATACCAGAAGATACAATCAAAAGTTAATTAAAAAGTTCGAATTATGAAGTTTCATCGGGTCAATGAATGATCAGTTAACTCCAAGTGGGGGTTAACGAAAGAAACATCTGTCGATGATTGTATCGTTCAAGATCAATCTTGTCTTTTTTTTTTATTTATTTGTTATTATCACATCAAGTATTAAGTGTCGTAAACTTGTCCAGCTAGACATTCGGACATAATCTTCGATCTTTCCAAGAAAACGGAGCAGGAAACAAGGAAATCCTTTCTTTTTAACGAGATTAACTCGACAACTGTGTTCTCGAATCTTTGATCAGTTAGATTCTAAAGTACAATCCGATCGTACCATCGATTCCTCTGTGACACCTCAACCTTTGCTCCTTATTTCTTCCAATTTAATTTCACACGACACTAGAGCTTGATAAGCTCAAGGTTTAATAAAGGACGGTATCGATATCGTTTGACAAGTTTGAAAATCAAAGCGAACGACCAGCAGTCGTTTTATTCTTGATCGATTAATTTCGTGTTTCCACACGGTTCTTAACAATGAGATTAAAATTCTGAGAAAATTTCAACTCGAGCGATAAAACTGAGGGAAATAGGTTGTTTAATCTCCGTTGATCGGTGATAAACCGATTCATCGACGATTAACAATTGAAGATTTCATTAGGAAACACCTGATTTTGATTATCGTTGTTTTTTCCTTTGTTTATCGATCGAGTGCCTCGATGAAAGGGATCGTTAAATTGTGAAAAATTTTATTTACAAATTGAAACGTATATAATAAGATATCGAAGCTTCAATTATTCAGAAGAAAAATTCAGAATAATTTGTCACGACTTTTACCTGAAAAGATATAAATTATGAAAACTGTAAATCTATCTCGGTTATACGAAAACAAAATCGTATATTATTTTCTCCCAAGAGGTATCGTCGTATTTCTGAAATTATCTTCAGCAATATTCGTAAACAGAGATATCAAATTCTTTTTTTCAGAAGAATCTCGAAAGTATTTCAAAAAAAATGGAACTAACATACTGTATTCAGACATACGAACCTCGTGAATCAATAATGAGGACACCAAAAAAAAAAAAAGAAATAGAATAACGTGATACGTAAAGACAATCGTATATATCTTTCATTATTTGCATATTTTAAACACAAACGTCACGTATGTTCAATGCGAAAGAAACTGTGTCACTTAAAAACAGTCATATATCATTTCATTATTTGCACTTGATGCATGTTACATTCGCATCGTGACAAAATCCACTGTATAAATCATTCTCACCTTTTCGAGAACATCAACGGGCTCGTATAAATGGTGGTACGGAGAAAAATGAGAGAAAAGAATTGAAATGCAAAGCCCGTGTTTTTCAACTTTCAAAATAATAATATCAATTTATTTATCTCTCCTATCTCTTAGTCAATCGAAGAGCTTCTCGACTCCTGTTTTGCAAAACAGAGAAGAAAAACGAGAGCAAACGAAATTGATTTCCGCAGGTTAATTGCGCTCGCAATCGCTTCTACCTGGTGGTGGTTAAATAGCGATCGATTCGTTTACCTTAATTGTCGCCGGTTATTCGTTAACGACCCTGTCGTTTTCTGTCGGCCCTATTGGCAGTTCGCCAAAGGCCCTTTTATACCTTGGCCTGGGTCTGCCTCGATTGGATATTGTGGTAAACTGCTGCAGTTGCAGAAAAGCTTGCGTGTGCTTGCACGCCTAAGGCGAGTTGCCTTCCATACAGGAAACTGAAACAATAAATAGCGAAACTCTATTAGGATAGCATCTATTCTTGATGGCTAGTTGGCCGGTTGGGGTCACCTGGTCTACTAATTCAACTGAAGGAAAATTTAATTTAGAAAATGAAATATTAATTATCAAAAGGAATTCATGTCTCGATAATGATTTTAGAAGTCTCTTTATCACACGCTTATAGAAATTACATTCTTCCTCGTGATTTGGATCGATTAATTGATCGTTCTAGAACTGTTGCACGAGAGCCAAAATGTGTCGTAACGTAAACGAAAAAATCAGCTCGGCAAACAAGTACGACGCTTACTTTTACAAGGAGCTCATTTCGAAACACGCCTCCTGCAAGTTTCAAGAATGCTTCTGGAAACTTCAGCGTGCAACTTTGTCAGATAATGAATCACGATATCGTAAATTTTATCGCGGAATCATAAACGGGGACATAACGAAATTCCCTCGGTCTTATCTATGGGATTTTAGTTACCTATTCCGGATCGCTGAAAAATTGATAAAAAGAAACTGTGTAATTAACTGGTAATATTACTTTCTTAACGATATCGGTACCACACCTCAGAATTCCTAACGAATTTACACTCGTGTACACTCGCGATGTTAATTCAAATTTAATTCAACTACAGTAGCTCGGAAAAGTATTCGGACACTCTTTAAAACAGAATACCTCATTTAAAATCAGACCAAATGATTTGAGGTTTTTTGAGAAGTTATACAAATTAATTTACTAAGATATGTGCTTTTGTCGTTTTAAAAAATTACAATTTCTTGAAATCGTGAAAGAAAATAGTGAAGTACCCTATGTCAGCCTATGATGAAAACTTAAAATACGTCTTTCGTAGATTTATAATTTTTTAAAATAACAAAAGCACATATCTTAGTAAATTAATTTGTGCAACTTCTGAAAAGACTCAAGTCATTTGGTTCAATCTTTATTTTAAAGAGTGCCCGAATATTTTTCCGAGCCACTGTATACGCGAGCGAGGAAAGGTGAGACCCTTAATTGGAAAAATTTGCGCAATTTTTCTTCGACTCCTTTATTCCACGTTCTGAAGGAAAAATCCTCGTTTTCAATGTAGTTGACGTGGAAAACAACGGGAACACTGGTTCCACGTGGTTATTGTAGTTGAATCAGTAACAGCTGTAACAGCTGGTTAAACGAAAGCTGCATTCAGCCTGGTTTTTGCCACGGAACAGAGAGCCGAGTGATTCGCGTTGGTGGCCAGGAAACCGGTTAACGAAGTCGCTATTACGACCTTTTACCAGCATCCAAACTCTCGAGAAAACTCAGCGATGCCTGATCGCGATAATGAGCGATCGTTTGACGGAAATTTCTGTCTTTTGATTTAACCGCGATAACGAACGCTTTCGATCCACCCTTGTTCGATTTTCCTCGGCTGGTCTCCTTTCGCACTTACGGCAGCTATTATTCCCATTCGGAGGGAGGGTCATTCTTAGAATCCAAAATTGATTAACGCGCACCTTGTCCACCCTGAATCGTAAGATTTAATTGCTGTTCCAGTTCGAAACGGATCGCCGAGTATCGTCCTAATCCGTTTGCTAAATTTCTAGT